GATTTAGGTAAGCTGGGACCATACTGTGGATGTGCCCATTTCTCCTCACTGGTTCTGGTGTAGTAGGGTTTGAGCCAGGTTGTCATCATCACTGTACTGTCAAATGCCTGCCAGTTTCTGAGCCAGCCAGTGAGATGCACAGCTAAGAGACCAGTCACTCTACCTTTGCAGTAGTTTTAACTCTGACATTTCCTTGGTGTTTTTTTGTGTGTGTATTTGTGTTTGTCTTGAAAGCCCAGTGGCAAAGGGAAGCGTCTCCCAGAGGTTTACTGCATTGTGAGTCGCCTTGGATGCTTCAATCTCTTCTCTAAGGTGAGGAGGGAGAAAGAGGGGAAATTTGTGCTGTAGGTCAAGAGGGACCTGAAAGTGAAGCCAGCACCTGAAGAATGGGGATAAGGGAAGCTGATTGCTGAAGAAAGGGTCTGAAATGGTGTTGGTGAGGCAAGCACACGCTAATTTCAGAGCCTAGCAAAAGCACAGCTAATAAGAAAACTAGATTTAGCTCTTGCCTTCTCCCTTCAGCAGAACTCCCAGAATGCAGGAGAGGTTAAAAAGTGGAGTCCTGACTCCGAGTGCAGTGGGGAGATTGCAAATTCTCAGCTTTACAGTGACCTCACTGGAGCTGTGTTTCTCTTGAGAAAAGAAATCAAGGGTTTTCAGCTGCACCTTTTGCTTTCTTTCTTTTGATACAAAGCTCTGTGTCAATACTGGATTGAGCAGAGGACATAGATGCTGGTGCATTTCATTCCTGGTGTTATCTCCCTCCTCCTGATTTGCATGTTTCTGTGCCTTCATGCCTTTATTTCAGATCTTGGATGAGGTTGAGAAGAGACGGGGCATCTCCCCAGCCCTGGTGCAGCCTCTCATGAGGAGTGTCATGGAGGCACCTTTCCCAGCTCTGGGCAGGACAATTACAGTCAAGAACTTCTTGCCAGGCTCAGGAACAGAGGTAAAGACACTTCCCTAGAGAGAGGGAAACCAGCAAATGGTGCAGGACTAATGACTGGAAGTTGGGACCATGACATAGCACTGGGGATCTTCAAGAACAGATGATCTGTCAGCTGGGGAGGGAAGCTGGGGAGTAAAACAGGTGACCAGAGGGGATAGTATGGAGACTTCAGTGACCTCAGAATCAAAATGGAAATCCTGTAGTAAAAATGAATGTAAGCACACAGCCTAATATAGCAAAAGGAAACAGGACATTGGCCTTGAGGCCAAGAGGCACAGACACCAGGTCTGTGCTGCCCAGCATGCGACCTTGGATCTGCTCAAGGACACCACACTTAACTTCCTAACAACAGGTTTGCACAATGTGCTCCAGCATCCTTAATACAAAACCTCTCTTTGTGTGGATCAGGTCAAAAACTCCTTGAATTCACACCAGGCTGATGTTGCAGCCTTTGAGAATGGCATTTTCACAGTGTGGAGGTGAGGATCTGTGCTGTGTATCACACGATGTGGTGTGAGGACAGCAGGAGGGTTTTAAGAGTGCTGAGCTTTAGGTGTAGCATTGAAGGACTGTGGGAGGATGGAAGGAGACAAATTGAACCTAGTTTTGGCCATACTTGCTGCAGGGCATGGTATGCCTTGAATGTGAGAGGGAGGAAAGCAAGCCAGTTGATAAAGTTGTGTCTGCAGGCTTTCAGCAGAGCACTACATCTGACATTCTCCTCAACCCAGCTGAGAACAGTCCCAACTAAATGACATTACTGCAGAGAGCAGGCAAAGCTGGTTAAAAATGTGCTGGAGGAGCAAAGTCCCAGTGGTGTGCTGTGAGAATGTTGTGGCTGGTTTGTGTCTGGGATTCTGTTCATTAATTATCTGACTGATGGCATAAACTCCACATTTACACAGTACAGCACTGGGATGGGGGCAGGCACTTTGGAGAGTAAGGGATTAAAAGTCAAAGTGCCCCACTCTCCTAAGTTCATAAAACATGTTCAAGTGTTCAAGAAATGACTGGATGTGGCACTGTGGTCCAGTTGTGGTGGTGATCAGTTGGACTCAATTATCTTAGAGATCTTTTCCAGTCTAAATGATTCTGTGATTCTGTAAATTGAAGATTTGGTGTGAGCATCAATATGGACAAGAGCAAAATGCTGAGAGGAAGAAAGGAGTAGTCTAATGCAACATAAAAGTAACTGAGTGACCAACAGTACTCCAGAGAAGGATCTGGTGGTGTACTGGGCCATAAAGTGAGCAAAAGTAACAGTGTGATATTATTTAGACAAAATCCCTCATTGTAAAAGAAATTGAAGGGTGAATAATAAAGGAAAGCAATTTTTCTGCTTTCTAGTGCTGCTGGAATTTTATTTAGAGTATTATTTTCCAAAACATGCAACCACTAGGAGAACGCCCCAGAAGGAGAGTTCTGCTTATTAAGTGGTCTAGAAAATACAGGCAAAGCGTGAGAAAAATTATTTACTTAATATAGAAAACAAAAGACAAAGGAAGACACGTGACAACCTTTCAATACACAAGAAGTTTCCTACACGGAGGAATGTGACCAGTTGTTCTGAGTGTGTACTGAAAGTAAGACAACAAGTAATTGAAGTAATTTGCCACTGACATGTTTCAGCTGCAGGCTTGGTGTTGGTTAGAGTAGTTCAGAACTGGAGTAATTTTCTTGTGGGATTTATGAAATGTGTGATGTTGGAGGCTTTCAAAAACAATTTAGATAAGCATCTGTCTAAGATAAGGAGTATGAAGTGCTAAGGTGCTATGATAGGCATTATTTAAGTAGATGTGAACAAAGAAAAATACCCACAGGCTGCTCTTGTCTGTAACTGATACAAAAAAATTATGGTCAGGAGGTTAGGCATCCAGATTCTTGCAATAAGAAAAAAATTAATTCTAACTGTGAAAGTCAGAGTGCAGATTTGAAAGGCTCCATGACATTCTGCTGCTTGAATACCAGAAAGCCTGAAAACCACTCCTAACTGGACACAAACTAGTTTTCCTCCTTCTGAAGAGCTCCCTGTCCTGAGTCCAGTGGGAAGAACTTGTGGTTGGTCTCATGCTGTGCCTATTGGAGTGGACTCTGGATCATCTTCATCTGGAAGAAGCATTTATGGGAGGCCTTTGGGCAGACTCTATTTGAGGACTTACTGCTGTGTGGTGCTCACCAGCAGTCAAGAGGGCTGCTAGCTGTGAAAATAGTGAAAATATAGTGAAAATATCCTCTGGGTCCTTGCTTGGCACACAGCAGGGGCTCAGCTGTGCTCTTTTTGTCCCCCCAGGTCATCGAGCTGCGGCGGCCGCTGGACTCCAGGCTGGAGCACGTGGATTTCGAGTCCTTGTTCACCTCCCTGAGTGTGAGGCACCTGAGCAGAGTCTTTGCCTCCTTGCTGCTGGAAAGGAGGGTGATCTTCATTGCAGACAAGCTCAGGTACCCTCTTGCATTTCCCTAAAGAAAATGCTGGTGAGGAAGGGAGGCTCGGGAAGGCTGCAGGGACAGAGATCTCTGCTTTGTTCCTTTTCTTCTCTGCTCTTTTCCAACCTCATAACGATGTGAATAGGGCTGTTTTTCCCAGGAATGGGGAACTTAGGCCATGAATCATAATTTCATTTTTCAGCTTGCAGGAAGTGCTGCTTCTCTCCCCAGGGAGAACCAAATTCCACTTCCTCCAGACAATTTCAGAGCAGATCCCTGGTGCTGAGGAAGCAAATCCCCTTCTTTTGCTCCATGATGCTGCACTGTGATCCCTGATCCGTGACCCCTGCTGAGCTGTGCTTGGCTTTCCAGGGATCAAGCCTTGTGCAGGGATCACTGTCCCATCTGAGTTTTTCCCTGATGTCACAAAATCTTCTTAATTTTTCAGCTTGTATTTTCATATTGGTTTCTAAAGACTTCTTCTTTCTTATTGGGATGAAAGTAAAGGATGCATCATGAGGAAATGAGACAGAGTACTTTCCCCCTTCTATTTTGAATCTGCTCGATTTTAAAATGTATTTGTTTGCTCTCCTAAATTATGAAAATGGGTCCAGGTTTCTTTAAGATCTTGTGCAGCTGGTGGCTGGCAGCTCTCCAGCCCTTGAAGCACTTGAGGATTCAGGGAGGAAAGTTTGCCAAGGCTGGGGAAAGCAAAGCTGCCTGGATGAGTAATGACACTTTGGAGCACGCTCAGGTTTCAGGAGTGTACAATGCCCCTAAGCTGTCTGTTTTCACAACTTCCAGGCAGCAGCCTGCAGCTCTGGGACTGAGCACTGGGGCAAAGAATGGAGAGGCCCCTGCTAGAGGAAAATGAAGGGGGAAAATACATTCTGCATGGATGCAGGGCTCTCTGTGGGCAGAGCTCAGGCAGTCTCATCACAGGAATAGAAAGGCTGGGGAGAGGGAAGCTGAAGCACTGTCTGCATCCAGGTTTTGGCAGCTGTCTTGGTTCAGAAAGGGGAAATTTTGCCACTTGATAATCACTGATACATTATCTGTGTAGAGACTTGGTATTCTGGATACTTGAACCACACATTTCATGCAGAGCATTTAGATTTATATTGAAAGTGAGACAATTCATGCAAACACTAGATCTCTGTGTCACATATATGATTTATGACATAATCTATGATCACAGGCTCTCAAATATTTTTCTCTTCCTCTGTAGGATAAATTTTACATTCTGAGAAAAAATTTTAAGGACACAGATTGACATTGTAATCTCTACATGAGAGCTGGGTGGTATCAGGAAATGGCAGGGAACTTTTGGGAGGGGGTGAGACATCACTTTAGAATGACTATTTATTTAAAAAATCTTTTCCTATCACATCTTTACATGACAGCACAACACTGTGTATTCTGAGCATGGGTGTGATATCTCTAATAGAAAGCACCTTGATGAGTTTTGGTGTTCTTTTCCCACCCCTGTATATTTTGTCAGGATATCTAGGATCCTTAGGAATTAATCCAGCTGTACAGGCTTGTAAAGAGAGTGGGAGAGAGCTATAGAATCACAGTTTCTAGAATCTCCAAATATCTCATAAACAGTTTTTTTTTTTTCCTGTGAGAAATGAATTATTATGTTTAAAAGATCCAGGGTCTCTTAGACCACAGGGCTCAGATTCAGTTATTTACCATAGATTTGCCAGCTCTCTATGAGACTTTTAATATTTGATGTTTCTGAGAAGACCTTGCTCTGAGCAATTTCAAGAGAGTCTTTTTCTTTTCCTCTTACAAAATATGAAGTTCCTCTGGCTCATTTTTGTGGAGCAAAAGCTTGGAAATTATCCCAAAGAACTGTAAAGGAGTGAAATGCAGAAAACAAAGAAAGTGGCCCTCAAAATAAGTAACTACTGTATTTTAATCCAGTTCAGTGACAGAATTAACAGTCACAAATGGACTTTGTGAGCTTTTCCTAAGGTAAACAATCTCTTCTACTCATAGGTGGACCTTCCATATTTTGAAAGCTGATGCTATTGTAGATACAGGATCTCCTGTCCAAATTATATTTTTCCTGGGACGGGAACACAATGAGTATTAAGTAGTATCTACTTTAGGAGTGAAAATGCCAATATGAGAGGAAAGAAAAGAAACACTTTTTGGACATAGCTGAAGAGAAGGAAAAAAACTATAAAAGCAGCTGTTGGAAACTGCTCAGAGGTTAGGAATGCTAGAAATAATCCAGCTGAGATGGATTAATGGGAAGAGTGCAGGTGACACAGTGAAAGATGCACAATAAATTATGTTTATCATTCATCTTTTCTGTTCTTCGTGTGAGGATTATCAATAACTATTTATGTGTTTGAAAAGGTGTATCTGGGTCTTAGTGACAGAGAAATGATGTGTACAATTTATTTACGCCCTTTAATTGCTATAAAATCAGTCTGTGGGAAAAGAAAGCTGAAAGGTCTTCTGCCAAATACTGCATGAACTGTGAAATGTTTTCAAGCTGAGCCAAAAAATGCATCTAACAAGTGTAGAGCAAGTGAAATACTTTGTCTTTTCCATCTTTAGAATGAGCATTGAGTGTTTAAATACCTGTCAATCCACAGCTTGGCAGCGGAAAAGGAAAGAATTTGGTTTATTAGTTTTTGGGTGGGTTTTTTTTCTCTGTCACTATGGATACTGGAGTATACATTGCCTTGCAACCCAGGAAAATGACTTTGTTAAAGCTGTGTTGGTCTGTGTAGTCTCCCCCCAGCTTTTGTTCATTGCTGCCCTGTTAACTTTATTCCTGGGGCAGTGGAGGCTGTGGCACGGGTTAGACACTGCAGCATGAGAGCTGCTTTTGTTTCAAAGGGATGTTGCCTGGCATGCAGCTCCAGGCACCGCCAACCAACCTTTTAGAAGGAATCTTTCAGCTAAAATCACCTGATGTCACAAGGTACCACGAGCTGGGCAGTTTTTAGTGTCCTGAGCAGGAGGTCTTTGTGATTCAGAAGGCTCTTTAAAAAGAAAAGCTTGCAAAGGCTTAAAATCAAGGCTTCCTTTTTCCAGATCTCAAAAGCTTTTTGTGGATCTGACCAACACCAGCAATTGCCTCTGTCTCTGCCAGAAACCACAGCTGTATCAACAACACAAAGTGGTCATTGTTATCAAAGGGAGATCTGAAAGAATTAGAGTAGACACTTTAAATGTGGTCATCCCCAGCAAAAGGTAATAAATCATCAGGAGGAACACTTTACAGAGTGCAACAAAACCAAACCCAGGACTGCAAATATTGGCCTCGCAGGTTTCTCCCTTTTTGCCCTGTGATTAGGGAGAAGAAGGAACCCAAGGATGATGTTTGGATGTCAGGTAATAGTGTTGTCTCTTCAGATCATCTTAATGCTCATTTCTTCACCTGCAGGAACCTGCCAGGTTGGTGGGAGGCAGTGAGGGTCCCCAGAGAGCTGGTGGAACTTGGCATCCCCCTGGTGGGATTTGCAGCAGGGCTGTGTGAAGTCATGGGACAATGCTTGGAAGCTCCTGTGCCTGCTAAATGTTGTAAACCAGATCTGTAATCCATCATAAGTAAATCCAGATGTGACACAGTGTCAGAAATCTGAAGGTGTTTGTAAAACAAATCCTACTGTGGCAAAGCTTATAAAAAAAAATTAAAAGATACATATTCAAACAATCTTAAATTGCCAAATGCCAACATATTTTGAGCAGTTTGGTTAGTGCAGGGACCACAGGACTTCCTGGCATTAAACTGCAGCAGGGTGTTTGATTGGTGTTTTTCAGAAATCATGCAGTATCCTAAACCCAGAGAGGGAGTCAGCTTTGGAGGGCTTTTTATCATATATGCTTGCCTTTGGAGTGGGAGCAACCAGGCTAAACAGCCAGTGTCCCTTTGTAGAAGGTGTTGCAACTTGTCAAAGTGTCTTTTAGAGCAAGTCAAGCTAGTCTTGGAGCAAGTTTTCCCAGGAGAGGAAGGAGGGTTTCTATGTAGTTGCAGCTGTTGTGTTCAGTTTCTGTATTGGCCACCTGTGTTCAAGTTGGCCACCAAGAAGCAGCAGCTTCACAGGGTGCTGTGCGGTGGCAAGGCCACCACAAATGTCCCAGGTTGCTGCAGTATCATTGTTCTGACCAAGGGAATACTAACCCAGAGAGATCTGTGTGTCAGTCCCTATCCAAATCAGCCCTTTAGGGAGGGCTCTGAGGGCTTTTCTGTACCTCAGTGCTTTTTAGCCTCTGTACCATTGACATCTCAGTCTTAACTGCAAGCAACATGCAGCTCAGCCATATTCCCTGCAGAAGGCTGAATGAACCCACGAAAATGTGCTCAGCAAACTTGAAAGTGTTCTTCAAAGACCTGCAGCATTTTAAAGATTACTCATGAAACCTAAAGCCTTAAAAAGTGGAGTCTGTCCCGTTTGAAGAACTGGACTGGACCTGTGTCCATGACACTTGCCAGAGCACACTGCACACGTGGCTGCTGGCCAAAGAGTGCACAGACACACAGGTGGCATAAAAGGGATTTATCAAGCTGGATTCTTTTGCAAGGCTCAGCAGCCTGGTGTGAATCAGCAGTCCCTTAGTGCTTGTTGCAGTGCCAAATGCAAGAGAAAGAGAGATCTTAGGCTTGAGTCACTCCAAAGAGCCATGAATCTCCTGGGCTCCTGGCAACCTGCAGCTCCCTGAGACCTCAGGGATACCTCCTCTGTGTCCTGCTCTGCCTACAAAGGAGGCTCACAGAGCTCAACCCTGCCAGTGTTGTTCCCTGGAAAGGTCTTGCCCAGTGAGAACTGTTTGGGAGCAGAGATCACTGGGTTTCACCCTGGAGGCATTGAGTCATGCACAGATGGAAGGGTGGAAGGGGAAGTTATCTTTGCTTCCCACTGCCTGGTGTGTACAATTTCAGACTGAACACTGCTCTGCCTTTGACTTCCACTCACTGGAGCTCAGCCACCTCTCCTCCCACTCAATCTCTCACATACCATGTGTACCATGTGGGACTGGAGAGTTGGGCTGAGGGAAGAACAAGCCACCATAAATATAGTAGGAGATAGCTTGCCATAATATCTCACCATGCCATAAATAACCACGTACTTCAGCTGCTCACTGCTCTTCTGTGGAGCTACCTGCACTCAGAGATGTTTTCCATAGGTTTTCACATGCTGTCTATAAATTCAGGTCCCGTTTAGGCAGAAGATTTGGATATGCCTTCAAAATAGAGGATTGGTGACAGATGTAAAACTTCTAACACTTCCACATTCACCCTCTCCTCAAAGAAGAGGAACAGTGGGTGGTGATAATGCCCCACTGCTGTGCACAAGTGATGAAAGGTGCAATTCTTTCAGCTTTCACCATGCTGCTGCTGCTATTACCAGGCCTATTATCAGTCAGAAATTGAGGAGTGGAAAATGCACTCTGCAGTAATGGGGAGGAAGAGAAGCCCCTGCTTTTGTATGTGCTAACATGACCTGAAATGTATGAGCAGCACAGCTTTGAAGGAGACGGTTTTTAAAGGATCTCATTAGCTTGGAGTGCACTTCTATGATGACACATTCACTTTTGTTGCAGTTCCTTTAAAGATTAGTTTGTACAAAAGATATAACAAAAATCATCTACTTTGATATTATTCCCACATTTTTTCTGGGTGGTATTTTTTTTTAATTTTAATGTTTCTGTTTCTTGCTAGCTCCATGTTTTCTCATTATTTTAGTTTTGCTTCTCACAGAGTCATTATCTACCTCGCATTTGTGATAGACACAGCAAGGTGTGGGATTGCTGATGATGGCAGGCACAGCTGGAGAGCAGCACTAGAGAGGCAGCCTGGAGGAGTAAATGCAGGCAGGGGGATACACTCACAGCTTCCCAAACAAGGGTGTGGAAATGAAGGGGTTTTCCCATTTAAAGCTTAAAGCTACCTGTCTGTAACACAGCCTTTGAAGGGTCTTCCTCTGTTTTTACAGAGTATCCCCTTAAAAACACTCTGGGAGTGAAGAGAGATGAAACTGTCCCCATTTTGTGAAGACACACATCTTTCCCAAAATTTTCAGGTTAAGCAGATTCCAGCCTCTCCCCTGGGGTCTCCTTATCTCCAAAAAGTGTGTGTTTAACAATTTTGTTTGTTGCCTGATTACTTTGTGCTGTCACACTGATGTCCCAGCAGCTCCAATTTTGTTCTGCTAGCCTGAACTTAGATGATGGAAGCCAGCCAGCTGTCCCCCAGCCACAGCACAGGGATGCACATCCACCAAACTTCACTGCAGTGGGGAGGGGAGGGAAAGCAGCCTTCACTTTTCAGAGCAAGCTCAAGTCCAAACCCAAAGAGGTTTTCAAGAAACCCCTTTCCCTCTCAAGGCAGTAATATACCCAGCTTGCTGAATGTAAATTCTCCCATGGAGTTTAATGGGAGCCAGCTGGGGCATCCCTCTCTGTCCTCGTGGCTCCTCCATGCTGCACCAGTCTCCCTCCTCTCCCTCCTCTCCTTTACTGGCTGCTGGTAAAACGAAATGATGTTACACATACAGGATTTACAGCAGCTAGGCTTCCCTCTCTCAACACATAAAAATGCTTCCAGACCCAGAACAGATGAATAACTGGTGCCCTGTGGCAAGCTCTGCCATGGCTAACTGGATATCCTGCCTGACTCCTGCCAGAGAGCTGTGGGAGAATGAACTCATTTCTCTAAGGAGAGGCAGTGGCTTAGAAGATGCTGTGTTTGTCTGATATTTTCCATCAGGACACTGGAGCAGCAGATCTCTGATTCAGTAGAACCCATCTCTTGTCATAAGAGTATGGGCTGGGCTCATCTTTCAGAAGTCACTGCTTCTGAAGCTGAAAAACGGGGTCCAAAATGTGGGAAAGCCCCAAATAATCAGAGAGATCAATCAGGGACCAGTCGATTTTTGGGAAGCACCCCTCATTCCCTGACTGACCAGCCGTTGTCCTTGGTTGTGCTTTGTCTTCCAGCACTCTGTCCAAGTGTTGCCACGCCACGGTGGCCCTGCTGTACCCCTTCACGTGGCAGCACACCTACATCCCCGTGCTGCCTCCTTCCATGATCGACATCGTGTGCTCGCCCACCCCCTTCCTCATCGGCCTCCTCTCCAGCTCCCTGCCCCGCCTCAAGGAGCTGCCCGTGGAGGAGGTGAGCCCTGCACCCACACCATACCCCTGCTCCAAGTTGTTTGCTGTTTTCTGGCAGCCAGGGAGCAGAGCTCCCATCCTCTGGCTGGGGTAAAGGCAGAGGGGAATGTTCCCCCAGTCTGCGCTCTGCCTTGGCCACTGCTTGGGAAGGCAGGAGGCTGGAATGTCCCAGTGTGGGGCTGCTGATGGTTTTATTACAGTTTATACTGGTTTCTGCATAGTGCTGCCCAGGGACTGCATGCAAATCCTGTCAGTCTGAAGTGTGATTGCTACAGGATAGCTGCCCCTCGGGTTAGCACAGGTGCCTCATCACAGCAATAAATAATAAAGAATTGCATTCCTTGTGCACAGCAAGGCTGAACGTGCTGAGGTGTTGGGATGGATGGGGATTTGACAGGAAGGTCTCACAGATGTGTATGTTTAGCAGAATGTGGGATCTTTGAATGTAGAATCTGAAGAAGGAATAGAAACAAAAGCAAGTTTTGATGTAGAAGAAAAGAATTGCTGAGCCAGTTTTACTGGATAACTAAGAAAGCAAAGGCTATGTTAGTTGGAAGAGATTTTTGTAGCTCAAAGTAAAGGATCAATCCACCTCAAACAGAAGATGTTTTTACCAAGTAAAAAGATTTCACAGATAAACAAGAATGCCATTGTTGCAAGTAGAAAATAGGTCTCAGAATTTTCTACTGCAAGAAAACTGAAAAATAACTTCTAGCTTAAACTGTAACATACTTACTTTTTGTAATTAAAAAATAGTAACATAAATATAATAATATTAGTAGTTGTGATAGGCTATGAGTAATAGTAAAGGTATTGATAAGTTGTTATGTATTAGGATGCCCAGCAATGGAAAGTATATAATGTAATTATATGTAAGTATATTGTAACCAGAACTAGAAGGGGATTCCGATGAGCCTCCAGCTGTGGCTGAAAAGCTGTAGGCTAGGTTCTTGTCACCCACAACCCATGAATTGCTGCATCATCTGGATACAATAAACAGCATTTTAAAGAGCCAGTCTGGAGTCCTGCATCCTTCGGCTCTTACACTGAGAGAGGGATTTCCCTCCCTGCCTCCTAGGAGTCAGGAGTGCAGCACAGAGGAGAAAGGATGGAGCTCTGACTGTGCAGTGAGGAGCAGTGGGCCAGGTCTGGAGCACAGCCTGCTGTTGTCCAAGCTGGGCTGTGGTTTGCAGTGACATTCCCAGAAAGCCACAACAAGGGCTCTGCTCCTGGGTCATGCTCCTCCAGCTGCAGTGGTGGGTAGGAGGAGGAGGGAAGTGTTCCCTCCAGAGCAGTTACAGACTAAGATAAACTCTGATGATGGAAATAATTGCTTCCCCTTTTAATTCTTGCTCTTTCATTCTTAGGTCCTCGTTGTTGACCTTGTAAATAATCGGTTTCTGAGACAGGTGAGCAGAGCTAATCCTTTTCTCCCTTTTTTCCTCCATAACTTACTTCCATCTATGTTTGCTGACCTGCCTGGCTGGATGCATCACTTTCTCCCTACTCAAAAAACGAGGCAGGGCTTGCAGTCAGCAGCATTATAGGGGTTGCGGTGTATATGTGTAACATCAGCATCCCAAACCACAGCTGTTGAGAACTAAATCATTGGGAATTACCTCTTTATCTGTTTTTTTTTTAAGAGGGAAAATGGTGGCACTTGAGCACTATTAAGTCTTTCAGTGTCATCCTGTAAGGCAGAGGACAGAGCTGGAAAGCCTTGGCTCAGCACTGTCTGCTGGGGAGCAGTGTGGGTTCTTCCAGGCTGTGTCTGTCAGTCCATCCCCCATCACATACTCTCCTCTCAGTGGGAAGGGAGCCTTGATGATTTTTTAAAATCCTTTCTGCCTTGGGAGCTTGTGGTTCCTCACTCTGGTCCTTGCACTGGATGGGTGAGAAGCAGGAAGGTGGTACATGGGAACCTGTCTGCAGGCAAGACTGCCTGCTGATTTTTACTTCCCTTTGTTGTGGGGAGGAGGAAGGGAAGAGCATAAATGAGCAAACATACTCCTGGCCCAGGCAGCTCTTTTTTCCCAGAGCTCTTTGGCAGATCACAGAGCAGCGCTGGCAGCGCCAGTCTGTGCCATGATGGGATGAGAAGATGGGATGAGAAGGTGGGATGAGTGCTCCTCCTGCTGCAGGCAGCAGCTGACTGAGATGGGATGGATGCTCCTCCTGCTGCAGGGAGCAGAGTGTGGGTGAAGGCCAAGCCCTCCCACAGTCCTCACTTGCCAGCTGCCTCAGCTCTGGGGTAATGCTTTACCTTGCAGCTCTCTTCTGGAGGCTTAGGCTGAATGAGCCAACTCAGCCAGGAGCTCTGCACAGTCACTGGCAGTTCCTTGGCTCCATTGCTCCCTGGGAATTCCTTATGCCTGTGTAAGAGGATTGGTGCCTGAGCAGGTGCTCTGCTCACCTGGCCAGGTGCCAGCATTGTTCACACTCTTCATGGTGGGGCCATGGGTGAGCCCTGCCCAGTAGCCTCTCAGACATGTAAAATTCCTCCAGAATAGGGGATTATTTAGGAAAAGACACCACCTTTCTCCTTCCTCCTGTGCTTCTTGGTACTAATGTGATGGGTGGTGCTGGGAATGTGCCAAGCATGTTATGCCTTTTTCCTCTCCTCACGGCTCATTTCTAGTGCTCCCCCTGCTGTGCTGGGGACAGGGTAGAAGATGTTTTTGTCCCAGTCCCTGAGGAGGTGGCTCTGTCTTACAGATGGAAGATGAGGACTCCATCCTGCCCCGCAAGCTGCAGGCCGCCCTGGAGCACATCTTGGAGCAGAGGAATGAGCTGGCAAGCGACAAGGAGGAGGGTCCTGTCAATGGCAAGCAGGGTAAAGCACAGTGCCTTTCAGCTCACAAACGTGTCTTTTCCTGCCCCTGTTTTGTCTGTCACTTCTTAGAGGAGAACTAGGCCTGTACTGAATTTAACACCACAGGTATTGGGGGTAGATCAGGATTTTGGTTAAGCTGTATGAAATATTCCAGCAGGGGGCAGTTCTCTGTGTGAAGAGCAGCAATAATTATCTCTTCCCAGCTCTGGCCATCCTTCCCTTACCATTCCAGGGAACACCTGTACTCCTTTTCAGAGTGTTCAGGCTTCTCTCTGCTGCTGGCCATGAGTGATGCAGGCTCCTCCAGGGGACAGTCACCTGCAGAGCTGCAGATCCGTGTGGCTCATGGGTGACTGGGCTGAGACAGCTCTCTTGGGGGACAGTATTGGCATCTCCTTGGTGCAGAGGAGCCTGGAGAATGTGCTGGTTTTGGCTAGGACAGAGTTAATTTTTTCCATAGCTGGTATGGGGCTGTGTTTTGGATTTGTGCTGGAAATGGTGTTGATAATACAGGGATGTTTCAGTTGTTGCTGAGCAGAGCTCACACTGAGCCAACACCTTTCTGCTTCTCAACCCACCCCACCAGTGAGAGGGTGCACAAGGAGTGGGGAGGGGACACAGCCAGGACAGCTGACCCCAGATGACCAAAGAGATGTTCCACATGGAGTGATGTTCATGGAGTCATGCTCAGCATATAAAGCTGCAGGAAGGAGGAGGAGGTGGGGGGTCATTTGGAAATAGGGCATTTTGTCTTCCCAAGGCACGTGTGCTGGAGCCCTGCTTTCCTGGGGAGGGATGAACACCTGCCTGCCCATGGGAGCTGCTGACTAAATCAATTATTTTGCTTTGCTTGTGTGCACAGTTTTAGACTCATCCATTAAACTCTCTTGATCTTAGCCCATAAGTTTTATCACTTTTACCCTTCTGATTCTCTCCCCCATGCCACCAGAGAAAAGTGAGCACCAAAACAAAGCTTGGTATCTTTCAGAGTAGCAGCAATTTGGTCTACTTCCATGACAAGCATTTCCTGGGATGCTCTCTCTCTTGAGCAGCTTTTTCTCCTCAGGCTGGATCTGAAAAAAGCCAGGAAATTTTTACCCAGAGATTTTTTCCTAGCACATTCTTACAGCACTATCCTCACCACTGTCTCTTTATTTTTCCCTTAGAAACCAGCCCTTTGAACGAGGTGGTATCTGAGGCTTTTGTGCGTTTCTTTGTGGAGATTGTGGGCCACTATTCCCTGTTCCTGACCCCCACGGAGCGAGAGGAGCGGACCCTGCAGCGCGAGGCTTTCCGCAAATCCGTCTCTTCCAAGAGCCTCCGACGCTTCCTGGAGGTTTTCATGGAGACTCAGATGTTTGGGGGCTTCATCCAGGAGCGGGAGCTGCGCAAGCAGGGGGTCAGAGGTGAGGGCTCTCACTGGGCTCTGCTCTGCTGGAAGCTGCTGTTGCTCCTATGAGAGCAGGGAGATGCTCCCCAGCCATCACCTCCATCCCCAGTTCCGTGGCTGGAGGCTGCAGTGGCTGTACAGGATTTCCAGGAGGGAATCTGGTGGTTTCTTCATGGGGCTGGGATTACAGGCATCTTTCACCCTTGCAGTATCCTCCATGTGTGTGCCTCTTCCATTCCAGATTGAATTCCACTGAGGGAATGATGTTTATTCTTGCAGTCCCTCATTTCCTCTTCTTGTGTCTAGAGGAAAAATGGGCTGGATTGGTCATGGTTCTTTTGTCTAGTAGAAAGCTTGGATGCTCATCTCCTTCCCAGAGCTGCTACTGCAGTTTCATTCCTGTTATCCCACAGTCCCAAGAGCTCTGCTGGCAGCTGAAATTTCTTATCCCTGCTGCTACTCAGTGCTGGCTTAGCAGCTTCCTCCCAAGCATTAATAAGCAGAGGATGTCTGAATAGATGGCTGAGTAAAAGATTCTGCATGATGACTCCCCAGATGATGTCACTGCCTGGGTTTAGCTGTGTTCCTAGCAGAATGAAGGGAGGTACATTCTGTACCCTGCAGCTCAGTCAGCCTTGCAGTGGGGAGGGAGGGGGCAGACCAAAGCTTCTGTGCCAAATCTGGCCTCAGCTGATGGAGGAGGTGGGGTGAGTTGTTCTCTCTCCTGTGCCATAATGTGTGGGTAAGCTGAGACAGTACACTTTCAGGTGGGCATTCTTACTTGGATTTATAGCAATACAAAAGAGAAGCTGTTCATTTCTGTCTTCCTGCAGGTCTATTTGAGGTACGGGCTCAGGAGTACCTGGAAACACTTCCCAGTGGGGAGCAGAGTGGAGTCAATAGGTTCCTGAAAGGCCTAGGTAAGGAACCAGCAAAACCCTTCTCAGGAGGGCTGGGCTTCTTGCTGCCTTCAGGCTGGGCAGCACAGAAGCTGCCCAAGGGTGGCAGGGCCTGTGACTATGTGTGGCATCCAGTGCCTGGCCACGTATCCCTGTGCTGGCCCACTGTTGGCTCTGGCCCTGGTCAGTCACTGTCTGGAGGCTGGTGGAGAACCAAAGATTGGGCCATGGGCTGTATCCCTGTCTTCTAAAGGAGACAGCTGGGTCTGAGGAGGCAATGGAGCAACCAGTGACTTGGGGGTGGTGGATGCAGGTCCTGATGGGAGGATGACACAGTTTTCATTGCCTCCAGGTTTGCCCTTAGGGATCAGCAGTGGGAACTGCCCAGGAGTATTCTAAGATTGAATCTATTTTCCACTGTAAGGGGGACTAGCCAAGAGCTCGAGACTGAGGTTACAAGTCCTTGATAAGTCATTGGACACCGTGACTGTTTGATCAGGTGTTAATCACATCCCTGGTCCTCTTGTCTGTTCTTGGCCATTTAAGAGCAGCAGTGCCTGAGGGGCTGGTGTGCCCTGGACAAATGGGCTCTGTAGGGTGTGCCTGGGAGCTTGCAAGGTCCCGGCCTGCAGCACTGCTTCCAGGGAATGGGCAGAGCTCTGCCTGCAGCTGGCTGTGGACTAGGAGCCAAGGAAGGCAGCAGGGCCAGTACAGCATAGGACAGAGGTGGTGGGAAATGACATTTGTTTTGCCTGTCACTATGGGGAGTCCATTTCCTTTTCTCTGTCTCTTCAGGCAGCAAAATGAAATTCCTCCACAAAAAGTAAGAGCGAAGCACATCCTCATTCCACAGAAGAGAATGGCTTCACCATTTAGCAGCAATAAATCAGACTCATCAACCATTCCCATTCAGCCTGCTCCCAGGAGCCTTGGGCAGGCTGGCCACAGCCAGGATGTGCTGCACAGACCTGTGGTGCTGCAGGAGGATGGGATGGCTGCAGGGCTGCCTGGACACGTTTCTGGATGTCTACAGTAGCAAGCACTGGACCAAGCACTCTCTCTGAACTCTGCACTAGCACGTTGCAGGCATCCCGGCGGATTGGATCTCTTAGCTAGTCAATTCTTTATTTGGTTGTATTTTTCTATTTATATTGAGGTTAGAACAGTTATTAACCAATGACTCTTGCCCTGCCTCCTCTCTGCCTGGTGCTGCAGGAGGCTGAAGTGGGACTGAGCAGGCAAAGCTCAGGCATGGAGGGGAGGAGGAGCAGAGATGTATGAAAGTAGAGCTCTGCAAAGCAAGGACACTGAGAGCTGCAGGGATGAGATGGACTGGCCAGGAGGAGCTTCCAAGCAAGGGAAAAGGGTGAGGGGGAACCACTAAACCTACTGAGGACTTGCTGGGCCAGCCAGCTCCCTGGGTGGCTGTACCAGGGAGTCTTGGCACGAGGAGAGGCCTTTCCTCATGCAGTGTAATTAAAAGCGAGTTGTGTAAAAGGCAAGTGGATCCGTGGTGTTTTCATGGAAAGGGGTGAGCTGTGTCTTCCCACCATCTTCCCACCCAGAGAGGACATCCAGCAGCTGGAACCATGGCTTGGCCAGGCCCTCACAGGTGGGGTAGCCTCCATTCCTCACCTGGCAGCTGTCTGGGAGCCCAAGGTGGAGCTCACCTGCAGGATCTTGTCTGGAGCCTTGCTTCCCAAAGGGCTCTCCTCTCCTATCGTGGGTGTTGCTGCTGGGAAGCACAGCAGGAAACAGGCAAGGGCAGAGTGTCTGCTGCTGCCTTCTGTGCTCCTACCTGGGCAGGAGGTGGCCTCTTGCTCACCTCTCTGTCTGTGGTGACCTGCTTTGGTGAGATGTCAGGGAAGTAGAATGGAGGTTGAGGCAGGGTGAGAGGTGAGAGCTTTTTTTTTCATCCTCGAGTCTGCTCTGTGGAGGAGAGTCTCCTTCCCAGCTGCTGTGGGGTTGCAGGGTGAAAGCTGCATGTGGGTACCTTTGCTCCAGCTGTGCTATGCTGGGCTGCACAGCACTCCCAGAGGCTTTGGAAATGATCCCTGTGCTCCATGGTGAGAGGACCTTTCTGACCAGCAGTGGAGTTCAGAGGACTTCACCTCCATTCCACACCAGAGCAGTGCAGTGGATCCAGTGCTGCTCTGTGAATCTTTTGAAGCCATGCCACCAGGTAGGTTGGGCAAATAGCTCTGGGTGGCCCTGCTTGAGCAGGGGCATGGCCCAGGTGACCCCCATAGGTCCCTTCCCACCTCAGCCTCTCAGTGGATCCGTGGTGAGCACAGTAAATGCTGGACAGCCATGGCGTCACAGCAGGCAGGAGACAGGCAGGCAGCACCTGCAGCTCTGTGCCCCCCCAAATTCTGTGCAGGGACAGAGGAAGCAACAACAGAGGGGCTCAGAGAAGCCAGCAGCTTCTACTCCTGCCTGTCCCCACCCAGGGTCCCTCAGGGGGGATTAGGTGGAGGGTGGGGATTACTCCTTGGGTGTGATGAACAAAACTGGTGCCACTTCACAGTCACAGGAGGTGGTGGTGGCTCATTGAAGGGAGCTGCAGTGGGGATCGAGGTGAATCAAATGCTTTGGTTCTCGTTTTGGAAGGAATTTTTAATAGAAACATTATGAAGCTTTGCAAAGCTGGGGTCACCCCCACACTGGTAAAGGGGGCCAGGATGCCTGCAAAGCTCTGTGGGATGCCAAATAAAGGTGATCTGTGTCTCAGCCTTCAGAAGCAGGTCTCCTACATGGTCCCACACTGCCAAGGCTGCTCCTGGGGACTGCACATTCCTCTCCTTAAGTGATGTTTTCAGCAGCCTGGGACTTGGCCTTCCTTGGCAGGAGCTGTGCTAAGGAGCAGGGAGGGATCCCAGGTTGCCCAAGGCTTAGCTCAGCTTGAATTGGTATGTGAGCATGCTGAGATACTGGCAGCTTTTGCTACAATATCCTAATGGCTCACATTTAAAAGGGTTGTGAAATAGCCCTGTTTACCTCACTGGGGAGCTCCAAGGGGGCTCTGCACAGGGCTCCATGACCACTCAGTGCATTTATTGGCTGCTCTCAGGAAAGTGGGAATCAAGCCTACATGGTGTACAAAATCCAAAGGGAGTGTTAAAAAGCAGCAGCATGAGAAGTACAATGAAAAAAAAGACATTTACAACTGTGTCATTAAGGATTTAAAATGAAACTTGGACAGGAAGTGTTGATCTCCAGCTGCAGGACAACCTCTTCAGCTTTAGTTTGAGCTGTGCTGCTCCAAGATGAGCTTGACTCTCCATCTAAGGGCTCTGTATGCTTTGGAGGAAGCCACCTGTAAGGAAAAGCCATTAGACCATCTGTGCTGGCTCTGGCCATGGGTCTGTGTGTCCTCCTATGGAGGCTGCCAGCAGCAGGTGGCCAAAGACTGAACAGAGCACATACACTGGGGATGCTCTATCACACACTGTACTGTACAGCAGCATTAAACTTGCCTGCTCTACATGCCAGGGGTTTCCTGCACCAGAGCTGGGTCTCTGTGTTTAGTAGCCTTGGATGAGTTTCTATTCCATGACCATGTGCACATGGGTGAAGGCAAACAGGCTGAGGCAAGAGGCCAATCTTGGGGCAGTACCAAAGGGAACTGGAGAATCAGGGCACTGGTTAAACATTAAAAGCTGTGATCTCTGACAGTTCCTGCCTAATTAAACAGCTCTCACACACCAACGTGAGCAGCTCTGCAGGGCCCATGATGTGCAGAGCTGCCCTTGCTGACTCCCAAACTACTGGCTAAATCCCTAGCTCTGTACTCCTCCTTGGTTTTCCAACATAGGCTGTTGGTGTCCTGCAATAGCTCAGGACGCTTGTGAAATCCCAGCCCCCCCAGAAATATTGGGAATGTCCCATCCACCCTGCAGTTGTTGATTCTGTAGCCACTGCTGGCAGGACAGCCAGCCAGCCCTGGGCAGTCAAGAGACCAGACCCAGGGGCAGTCAGACTTGGGCTTGGAGTGTTACAGCCAAGGGGTTGTGCTTGCACTTTGCTGCATGTGGGGATCCCTGGTGCCAGTTGCAGGAGATTTAGAGCTCACCTCTCTGCCTGGAGACAGATTTCAGGTTGCAGGTGCCAGCAGGCAGCTTGCAGGTGTAGAGCCCCAGGCATCCACCACAGTCAGAGGGCTTCTGGCAGGGCCTTGACTGGATGCTGTGGCAGGAGTGCTGCAGAGAGAAGGAAAGTGGTGGCTGCAATGCCCATGGCAGCCAGGACCAGCCCAGTCACAGCTGCATCCTCACTCTGCAGCAGCAGGAGCAGCAGGAGCAGCAGGAGCAGCAGGAGCAGCAGGAGCATCTTCACTCTGCAGTAGCAGAACAAGCAGCTCAGGGTCTAGAGCAGCAGCTTCATCACAAGGAGCTGGAGAAGCTGGGGCCCAAGGAAGTGCTTCCAGGGGCAGTTCATTACTGGTTTTGGCTGGAAGCACTCTAAGTTGACCCCTACAGCCACAAAACAGCCTCCAGTGCCTCTGCTCTTTACTGTGGTGGCACCCGCCCCAGCTGAGTGGCATCTGGCACGGTGTCACCCAGCACTTGGTGGTTAAGGCAAGGTCTACTTGTGCCACCAAAGCAGGGTTTGGGTTTGATAAAGGAGAAGTTGGTTGTTTGTGGGATGCTGTGCCTCCCTCAGGGCAGTGCTGAGAGGAGTTGTGTCCATCGGGGCAGCAGGGCACGGTGCCCCATTGCAGAGCTTGGAGAGCTTTGTTAGCACTGCGGGAAATGAACACGAAATTTTGGAGAGCACTGCAGGGGCTGGGCTGGGGCAGGACTGTCCCTGCAGCTCTGAGGGCAGCACATGGGGACAACTGCAGCCAGACCTGCACTCTCCTCCTGAGCTGCTCACCACCTGCACTCACAGCCATCAGCTCTGCTCTGAGCTTTGCCAGGTACCAGCTGGGGATCTGGGCGTGTCACGTTGTGCTTGGCACCTTCACACACATCTACCTGATGTTTGCAGGGTCACAGCATGCTCAGCACCTGCTCCTGCTGTCCCCAGTCCTGTCTGATCCTGACTGGTGCCCTGCTCACCCTGCACCCCCCAGCACAAACCCTGCTGTCCCACGACAGGCTGTGCTTACCGTGTCACTGTTGAATTTCCCGTAGTCCCTCAGCTGGTGGCTCAGCTTCCCCATCCTGCTGCGAGAGGGCTGCAGTGGGAGCCTCCAGGGCTTGCCAGGGGGAAGCTGCTCCCCACTGCCCAGCAGGGCTTTGGAGGACCTGGAGCTGGGCTGTGCCTCTCTCATCACTTTCCATGCGTTGGTCAGAGGGTGGCTCCTCTCTGAGCCCTGCCCAGGCAGCTTGTCCCCTCCATCTCCAGGTGGCCAAGGGGCTTCTTCAGGGCCCCCAGCCCCTGCCTGCCTCTCCAGGGTGCTGGCCTGGCTCCCCAGTGCCCCAGATGGTGCTGGAGCTGAGCAGAGCAGCACCAGGAGGAGCGTGGTGATTGTCAGTGCCTGGACATTCATCCTCAGGTCCTGCCTTTGGCTGGATCCAGAGTCAGGGGGAAAAAGCAGCTTCCACCTCTGCTACTGACTCCAACAGCCTTGTCCAGGCAGGAGGATCCTGAGCAAAGTAATTTTTATAGTGCAGGGACATACCTTGGGGGCACAGCCCTCTTCCCCCGCCCCTGCTGTGTCCCACCTCCCAGCTTGTGAGCAAACCCAGCTGCTTACATGGGCCCCAATCCCCCTCCCTTGTGTTCCCAAACATCCCAGCACCCTTCTGGCACAGCCACCCTGTCCTTGCTCGGGGTACACACGTGGGTGTGTGGCATCTGAGCACAGAATCTTTCAGCTGAACCACAGCTGCAAGCAAGGTCTTGGTAAAGGGAGAGCTGATGGTGAATGTTTGTGTGTCTGACGGAAAGGTGGTGGGCTCAGAGGGATGCAGTTGCTACGAGCCTGGTGGAAATAATCTCAGGTAGAGAAAAGGCACCCAGTTAATGCCTCCATCCATTGCATTGTTAAACAGCAGAGCCCACCCAGGAGAGTGGTGTTAGAGCTGCCCTGATCAAGCTTTTGACCTCAGTGCTGTGTCAGACACCAGGGATCTGCTCCTCAGCCAAGGGGCCTCCCTGACAGCGCTCTGTGGATGAAATGGAGGGTGAGTCTGTACTTCAGGTTTACTATCAGTTAGGTTCAAGAACCAGCCAGCACCAACTCCATTAGAAATCAGTTTTAATGAGTTTCAGTGTTCACCAATCTGTTGGCACCCACAGTTGCATCCTGTGCACGTTACATGCTCAGAGAGAGAAGCTGACTTTTCCTCACTGCTTCCATGGCAGATGCCTTGGCTGCCTCTGATCTCTTTCACTTCAGACTTGACACTCAGGACTGAAGAAGAAAGGAAGCCCCAAGTTCAGAGGAAAGCATGTGGAACAAGGGGCTGTCATCTTTTAAAGGCCACCAGCTGGCCCCTGGTCACTCTTCTTTACTTTGTCTTGCCTATTTTCTCCAGGGGCATTGGACTTCAGAGCAAGAAGGTGTGGTGTGTGCTGGCAGCCTTGGGAAGATGGATGAGGTTATCCTAGAGTGTCCTGTTCCTGCCAGCTGCACCCTGCCACAGCTTGTGACCCATGGGACCTCTTGGACAGGAAAGATAAGCAGCAAAAGCAGAGGTTGCTGCTGGGCCCAGCTGAAGGGACCTGGTCCTGAAGATCCAGGAGTCAATGACAGAGGAGCTACTGTGAAAATGGACAACAGTGACACAAGGTGGAGGAAGAAAAAATTCCCTCAATAGAAAATCTAGAAGGCCTGGAGGTCAGAAAACCAGGAGGTCTGAAAGACCAGAAATCTGCTTTTCATTCCACAGAAGTTCCCTGGGTCGAGGCCTCCTTTCCTGAGAGTTTACCCAGGACCAAAGTAGATGACTGTTCTCAAAACTCAAAACACAGTCCAGTTCTTGAAAATAGGAATGCTGTGAGTGCAGTGAGGTGATAGAGGAGAAAGCCACAGTGTTCTAGTCCATATTCCATACCTTCACCTCTGGCCAGCCCCTGCTCTGGACTTGCTCCTGGCTGACACTGGAGGTGCTGATTTCTGGGGAAATGGGCTCATAGGAACGGAGAGACAAGCTGGCAGCCAGCAGACCCATCCTGACACACGTGTCTGTGTCATGTTTAGCAAGCATCCCTGCAAGGATTCCTGCCATCAAGCTGTGGAGGGAAAGAAAGGTGATTTTTGAGCATGGGGGGAACAGCTTTGAACCCAGGAATGTGGCTGTTCATTTCTAAGAGCTTTCATTTGGATCCCAACAGCACTTACAGCAGCAGAATATGTCACACAGGAAGGCTGAGGTTACAATGAATGGGTTTTGCTTTTTCTATATCTATTTTCTGAGTACCAAATAGTGTCATTTATTTGCATTTTTTGTTCTTCCCATTTGAGAGGTTGAGTTACTTCCTCTTGTACCATGTTTTCTATTCTCCTCAGTTTTCCAGGTGAGGCAGGAAAAAAGAAAGGACCTAAGAAGGGAAGAATCCAATTTTCCCCTGCTCTCTGGTTATTTTGTCACTTCTCTGCACTTTGTTGGTGCCTCATTATGTCCCTGCTATATTGATGCCTCCTGTCCCCAAAGGGTTAGATGGGGTGAGGGATAAAGTTTCTGTATCTATGTGAGAAGGACAACAGGCACAGCTGGAAAAAGAAATCCAAAGCTGAAATTACGTTGGAAAGTCATACTTTTGGGAAACATTTGCTATGGTTTTTCATTTGAGAATTCCCAGTAAAAGTGATGCAAGTGCAGTGTTTGGGATAGATTGGGAGCAACTACTCTATTCACAGCAACCACTGTAACAATGTTCAGAAGCCAGGAGAGGACAAAGGAGAAGGGAAAGAGAACAGAGAAGAAAATCACATTTTGGAGGAAGAAGCAAAGACAGGAAAATGTGATGGCAGGGAGGATTAATAAGCACATCTATGGGGAAGGCAAAAGGAGCCCTTACTGTACACTCCACCTAATTACATCAATTATGTGTTTTTATCCATAACAAAGGCACAGAAGATTATGACTTCCACAGACCGTTCAATCTCTCAACAGCTCCAGGAGTTGAGGGTAAATATTTGGGGGAGCATCCCCTAGCAATGCCATGTGTGGGCATGTGGTGTTAGGTTGTCATGGCAGCTGGGGGCGAGGAGCAAACACTGCACACAGGCTCAGCTCAGGGGCAGATCTCTGCAGCTGCACAAGAGCCACAGGGTGGAGGGGAGGCATGAAGTGCCCCGGGTCACTATTCCTGGATTGCATTGTCCCCTTGACCAGTGCTTCTGAAGTGTGAAGGTTCACGGGGGCTAAGCTGGGAAAGGCATTTAATTACATTTTAGATATTAGGGAAAATTTATTTGCAATGAGAATGGTGAAACATGTTTGCCCACAGAGGTGGTGGATGCCCCATCCCTGGTTGGATGGGGCTCTGAGCAACCTGATCTAGTTGAAGATGTCCCTGCTCGTTGCAGAAGGGTTCAGACTAGATGACCACTGAAGGTCCCTTCCAACCCAAACCATTCTGTGTTTCTAAAGTGCCACCAGGCTGGGCTTGGGACACAGAACCAGTTTATATGGTGTGGAGATGGCTTGTATGGCATTGCAGTGTCCTGGCATTTCTGGCACTCTTGCTCTGTAGAACAGGGATTTCCAGAGTTCAGCAGTTGGGGTTCTTAGGAAGAAAAACCCTGGATAAACATGGGGACTATAAAAATTCCCCCCCACCCCATGGCCTTGGGGCCTCTGGGGAGAGGAATTTCCAGACCAGTGTTACTTCAGCAATGAGAGCAGGAGTGGGCCCCAAGCTTTCAGATAGGTTTGGGAGGAAAAACAAGCTTCCAAGTTCCTCAGTGTAACTCAATGGAGGTGGCTGGCAGTGGCACATTTTACCTCACCTTTGGTCTTCCCTTGAATTTTAAAAAGAAAAGGAACCCCTAAGAAAGACGTTTTGTTCACATTAGCCTCTAGAAAAAAACAAAACTTGTCCTGCAGTAAGGAGTACTTGTGTTTGTACTTTGTGAGCAGATGGTGCAGAGGGGAGGCTGTGTCCCTGGAGGGGCTGGCTGGGGACACCTCCCCGAGGCACTGAGCAAAGCTGAGCTTTCCTTAGGTCAGACTGACCCCACGAGGCTCCTCCAGCCCCCGTTCCTCTGCTGTATTGCACCTATTGCTCCAAACAACCATCTGGTCTCCTTTGGAGAAGACCAGCTTGCAGCTGCAGTCAGCTCCTCTCAGAGCTGATCTGGGACACAAACAGCATGTCCTGGTGTTGAGTGGGCTCACCAGCTTGGCAAGAAGTTACTGATTGATTTTAAGCAAAATATTGAGGACTCTATGTTCTAGAAAAAAAACAAACCACAAAAACCTTTTCATTCTGCACACTGATCAGAGAAAAAAGAAGTGTTGCTATGTTGAGTTATTGCTAGGTAGGAGTAGAAAGGGAAAAGGAAATATCTGTCACATACAGACTTTTGGTGTAGCCCAAGGCAATGAAAGGACAGAATCAATTACTGCAACGTATGAAGCAAGAAGAAAAAAAACAACCTGACTGCTACATATAGTTTGTCAAGTTAACAAGGAGCATAATAAAATATTACTCTGACAGACTGAGAATTGATCACTGGGGCTAGGAATAATAGCTGTCATTTCCCACTTCTATGTATGGCATTGTGTGAACAGCCAGGCGAATTATACAGCAGACTCTTTTGAAGCAAGAGCTTCAAAATTGCCAGAGGCAAATGCAGCATGTGATGAAGTGCTTTTACAGGGCCATTTTAGCTCTTGAGTGGCAGTTCCACTTCCATTGGAGAAGTGTGGAAGTAAGGCAGTTAGTTAGTAAGACAGCTTTGATGTAAGGTGGTTTACTTTGCTTTTAGCAGCTCAGCCCAGAGTAATTCAGAATTCTTAGATTGCCAGGAAAGGCTTGGATCTTGAAGAAAAGCAAAACTAATAATGGCAAGCCTGGCTTCCAAGATGCTCCGGGGGACATTTTTAGCAAACTTTGCAAGGACTCACTGTAACAAGCCCTGTTCTCACATTCCTGAGTGTCTCTTCCTCAAGCAGCAGTTGCTTTTCCAGTGGAATTTCAAAGGGATCCGATTATGGCCCTTTGACATGCAGCTGGAGAGGACAAAGCAGCAGGGATATACCTGTCACCAGCTCCTGAGACGTTGACTATCTCCTCCCTGCCGATGGGGATGGCAGGGTAGTGGGCAGCACAGAGCCTGGCAGCAGCAGTCTGTGGGGGGAGGGAAGGGAAATTAGTGGGAATTGCTCAAGCTGGTGAGGCCTGATACACCTGATGCCACCGTGGATAAAGGAAAGGCTGAAAAAAAGGCAATAATCTTTTTTCACACTTGGATCATTTAAATGAAGCTTCCTGCAAATGAAGCTGGCGCTCATGAATATTCACACAAGCACATTTAATTCTAGCTGACTCTAAACACTGCTGCTAGGAGCCAGCAGTATAGGGACAGACAACTTGATTTTCTTTCAGAGCTGTGTATTCCACCCCCCAAAACACAAACATTTTCCAGCAGTGATGCTATGTTTCCCAGGACTGCTGCCACGCCACCAGAAATAGCAACAGTGCCATATGGTCCAAGAAAGAAGCAGCTGAGAGCTCAGAGTTGGTTTTCCATGCCCTTACCTGCTCAGGAGCTCCTGGATAAAGGGAGATGCTCCCTCCCAGGCTCTTCCCACACAGGAGGACACCGTGAGCACCGAGGGTCACCACCACACAGTGCAGGTGGGCCAGCAAAGGGCAGGCCAGGGCCACTGCAGCCTGGACAACATCCTCCAACCTGGATGGCAGCTCTTCAGAAAAAGGAGAGGGAGAAATGTACTCTAACTGCACAGGTCCCCAACCAGCCTTTCTGTGGGCTAACAGCCTATTTGTGAGCACTTCTACTGCTATTTATGGTACCACCATAACCACCATAAGTGGTTAGGTAACCACTTCTGAAATGTGGCTGGTACTTTTTTTTTTTCTTTATGTTATGGGAAACATGGAATTCTCCAGAGTCAGACTTCCACACTCTACTTTTGTGCTCTCAATGTCTGCAGAGATCAAAAAGCTGTCTTGAAGCATGGCTCCCTTGTTTCAATGCTGTTGGATTTCCATCTGCATTTGGTGGGCTGTTTCATTCCTGCAAAGGGTGGTGCTGCTGGGACAGGTGTCCTCTGAGCATCGTGCTCCAGGGCCACATTGACAAACCAGATATTATTCCTGTTTGGGTGATGAAGTGAGGCAAATGGGACCTCTGGTTTTGGTCAGGGAACCATCCCAGGCCTGCTGTGGTCTCTGAGAGATGGCAGTAAGGTGCAAGATACCATCAGCACTTATGAATCCCCACTGTGTTATAAACCAATTCGCCTGTATTAGAGGCAAATTATTAGCCTCTATTAGCATTTTCTGAAGCAGAAAATGCTCTTCTCCAGGATCTAGGTTATGTAAAAGTCTGACTGACCCTTCTGAGTATTGAATACCTGCTGGCAGAGGGTTCCCAAGGGTCCGATTTATTGCTCTCAGCTCTTGCAGGTTGGGGGAAATGTATGTGAGTGCTTTCCAGCTGTCTGACAGGAACGGCTTAGAGGCTTTGTTCTCATCTGTTGGCTCATAGCACACTTCAAAACAACAATGCACTTGGTTAGTTAATTAATTAATTAGTGGCTCGTCTCTGTGTCAGAGCAGGCTGCAGGGTAGAACACTTAGCATAATCTGCACAACAAGAGTTACACCTTTAAATTATGAGACATTTAAATATTATTTCCACCAAACTTGGGACAAGGTCTCCCAAAGTTTCCTTCTCAGTGTTCAGCAATAAGACAACTGCTTCTGGCTCTGGATGGTACAACCAGACCCTACTTTTGTTATTCCAATTAGCTGGTTTTTCTGACAGGTTTTCAGATCACTGTGTCCTTCTTTGGGATTTGCTTTTAAAAAGGGAGGTGTAACTCCCAAGGTTTAGGAAACCTTCTGAAAGGTCCCCAGCATAGCAGTGGAGGGGAGCATTTATTTTATAGGAATGGGAGAGAATTCCTCTCAAAAGATGCTTTAGCACTTTTTCTGAGAAGCAAACTGTATTGCTGCTCAAACTGGCACAAGTGCTCAAATTGCCACTTGCATGGAGATTTAAAGGCTCAGAGAGCAGCACTCCCTGGCCTTCTGGCAGTGCTCAAGGGCTTTACCAACCATGCCTCAGGAAATGTGGTTCAGCAGCACAAAGAGGAAATCTCCAGAGAAATCCAAAACGTTTTATCCACTTGAAGCAGAGTGGCAGGGTACAGAAAGAGGTGCTGAATAACCCAGCCTGTCAGACAGTAAGTGGGTGTCTCCAGCAAGCAGCAGGGATGTGCCTGGGCTGTCTTGGCACACGTGCTGTGATGCTGAGAGGGCAGGTTCTCCTCACCTGCTAGCTGGTGCTCTCTGGCTAGTTGGCAGACGTACTGAATAGTGGAGAGAGGCACATTTCCATCCATGCAAACAAGCGGGGCCTGGCACAGGTTCTCCTTGAACTGGGACACCTAGTTTAAATCCAGGACACAAGGAGAGACAGCCTGAGTCATTGCAGAGGGACAAAATCATTGCTAGTCAGATTTGATGTTGAATTTGAGCAGGCATGAACCTAAAAGAGTGATTCCCTAAGGAAAATGGATTTTTCCATTTGCCTCATCTCCTCCCCTTCTCCTTCCCCTGCTCCTGGCCATTAAGAGCTGGACTCAACTGGCAGGGCACCTCCAGCAGAGAAAGACAATTGCTGGTCCTCACTGGAGCACTCCAGGGAGATGGAATGCTGCTGTTTAATGCCCCTGTAGCATCCCCTGGCTCACTGGGGTTGCACAGACACTTGCTGGGATGCCAGGCCAGTGCTCTGGGCACTGGAGCAGCATCCCCCCATGTCTCTGCCAGCCCTGGTGGAAAGAGGGGCTGCCAAAATGCACTTTGCAGCACAAGACTGGTTCAGAATTTCCACTGATGGCAGCTGCTTTGTAAAGCTCAGGAGAATTAAACCCTCATGTAATGGTTTTCTGTGCCAAGGCTTGGGGGAGGCAGGGTGGGGATGGAAGTGGGAGTAATGACCAGATTTTTCCCCAGGAAGGCTCCATCTCATGGAGATGCCACTGGTAAATAAACTGCACTTAACTTCCATGTTGCTGTCAGTCATGAAACACAGGCTTTTGTTCTGTCAATAAAAGGTTGGGTAGGAAAGGAGGGTGCAGTGATGGGGCTTTCACTGAATCATTCCTTAATCACTGCTGCCATTCTGCTTCCCTGATGTTTTTGAATGTTTGGATGTGCAGAGCAACAGTTTCTATTGATACAACTCAGCGTGTAGAAACAAGGGGATGCAACAGGACAACTTGCTTTAACCAGGGTTCTGTTCACTTTTTTTTTTCTGGTTTTCCCTAAAGGAAGAAATATGAGTTAGGGTTAAGGTTAGGGTTATAATCAGGTTGATTTCTTGCTGGCTTTAAGATGCGAAATTATAAGTTAGCTTGGACAAGTTAATGGAGAGGATTCTGGCCTACATATCATGGATGATGGCAGTGGAGATATTCATGAACCAGGAACAGACAGAAACTCCATCTGGGCCAGCAGTATTAGAGGGTTCTGGTGGCTTCTTATGCTGCTGTGCCAGTGGCCAATGCCTGGGGTTAACCTGAGCATCTCCCATGCCCTCTGCACACCCATTCCCTCCTGGTGCAAATGCCACCTGGTACAAATGTCACTCTTTCTCATAAGAAAAGCTCACAAATCTGAGGCAGTGCATACATAGTGCTCTGTTATCTGGTGGTGGATGTCCATGTCTCCCAAGCCAACGCTGAGCTCCCCAGCACTGGTGATCACAGCACAGTAAGTGGCTGTGCTCTTCCCCTCCAGCTGAAGGATGCTGCTCACGTCCTGAAACAGGGAGGATAGTTACACACTGAGCACATTTCTCTTCCCTGCCACCCTCAGCTTACTCTTTCTGTGCCCACCTGGTCTCCAGCCCAGCTCACTGCTCTCCCTTGGGATAAGCAGCCTGTCAGGGGTATCTCAGTCTACACAATGCTGGCACGTAGCTATTTGTTAATATTTGCAATGCAAAATATGCTGCAGGTTAAAGCAATCCTTTAGTAAATGAGTGCTGTGCAGTTCCCCAGGTTATGTCCCCTGTACCAGAGGAGTGGTCTGCAGCCCTGCCTGCTCCAGTCACCCATTCTCACAGCCTGTGTGGGACAGCATGTCTTGGTGGCACTCTGCAGACAGCAGTGACTTATGCTGGCCATCTCACCCAGTGCCCAGCCTGATTCTGAGCACACCCTGGAGCCATTTCTACAGCAGTGAGGCAGAGAGCTGTGGGGTGTCCTTCCTTTGTGACTCCTGGGAATGATCTGCTTAGGGAACACAGGGCATATCTCGGAAAGAACACGTGGATGGAGAAATGTATCCATCTCTGCAGCTGACAGGGAAGCTGGAGTTTTTAGGGAAAGGCTCCTCTCCAACACTGGTGGGAATGTATTTTGTTACAGGCAAGGATTGCTTGGGGCTTGGAGCAATTCCACCTTCCCCTGGGAGTCTGCTCACTCGGATGGCACAAACTGTGCTGTGTAGAGAATATAGACCTGCCATGGTGAAGCCTTTATAACACAAAATAGAGTTATGTTCTCATTTGTTCATTTGCCAAGTTGCTCAGGTGGCCAGAACCAAGGCCCCATGGGCTGTGTTTGGATCCCAGGGTCACAAGGGCACAAATAACAACAGTCAGTGACCCTGACCAGCCTCACCTGGGGGCTGCACTCACACCCCACACCCTGCCTTGCCTTCAGTCCTGCCTTTTCTCCATGGAGCTGCCTGCTGGCTTAGGTTCGAGCTGCCCTCCTGGCTTTTTTTCTCCCTGCTGGGATGGTGATATTCTGCCTTGCTGTCCTGGGGAGCTCCTGCTGCTCCAGCTCCCTGACCTGTGGACAAGTATTCCCCTACTCACAGGTAAGCAGTGTATGCAGCTCTGTAGAGGATTCTGCTCCTCTGAGCTTGGGAGGTGTCCAACCCGCAATTCCAGTTTCACATTTTCTCTGTCTTGGGTTGTAACCAAACCAGGTTGATTTTGGCAGTGCTTTGTGTGTCCTCCTGTTCAAGGTTTGCATATTTCTCTCTGTGTTTAGCCTTCACTAGAATTGTACATGGTTGCTCCTGATTTACCTCTGTCTCTTCCAAGCACCACTTTCTGGAGCTGAACTCAGAGCCCATGGCTCAGACTCCAAAATAAACCTAGCCTGTGTTTTGGTTTTGTTTGGTTCCTTGCCTTCTAATTGTCTGTAGCTAAAGAAACATTGAAATATTCCTACTTTCAGCCTGATGGAAGGTGGCTCTGATGTCTGCCAGGGTTGGGAAGAATTTTCCCTCTATGTGATGTCACCTCTTCCATGTTTCTGAGGTGCCACTTCTGTGTAACATACCATGTGGTGGCAGTAGTGCAGGACAGACTCTAAGTGCTCATCCTTCCCCACTGCTGATAAAAGGAGAGGAGTTTGTCCAAGACGGCTTAGACAGTCTAAAAAGCAAAATGGAAATAAAAGCTATTAACAAATCCCCCAGAGAGCTCTGCACACAGTGACAGCCAGTGCAGCACGGGTGTCTCTAGGAAAGCCCTCTCCTGAAAAACTTAATGCTCATCAGTCCTTGCCTAGAAGGATGTTCAAGATGAAATTGAGCTGTAGCTGCTGCAAATGACTGCTTAGGGCTGAATGAGGTGTCCTACAGAGAGCTGAACCAGCACCCTGAAATTTAGCATTCTTTGGAACATCTGGGAGTGGAGGAAAAGAGGGGGAAGCAAATTCTGCTCTTTTCTGGCATCATCTCCTTTAGCATCACAGGCATGTGGGTTTTCCCATGCTGCTTCTGAGCACAGCCTTTTCTGGTGCTGGCCCTCCCACACTGCTGTTCCCACCATGATATTTTACTAGAACCACTGAATCTGAATGCATTAATGGGAAACCCTTCCTCCTCTCAAGTTACCACAAATTGTACTTCTGTGGGTGGCGTGGGGATTTTGGGGATTTTTTTCCACTCCAGCTTCTTCATTAGTGATCTGAAGTGACAGTAGAAATGTTTTAGGAGATTGGTAAAAGTCTAAAAGCCAGAATAATCCTAAAATCTTTCTGTAATCTGTCCCTGTTCACTTCAGTACAAGAATATTGGTCTGCTGCTGCTCGTGGTGGAGCCACAGGTACTGTGTGCTCCTTTCTCATCAACAGGACTGTAGCCTTTCTCCTTTTACATTAACTGCTGTACCCCAGTTCCTTTTGTCCATGGGATTTGGTTTATCAGTCTGGAACCAGGATTATTCCTTTCAACTTCTTGCTCTAAGCATGTTTCCATTTTGTCTATATCCTGGCATTAATTAAATCTGAGGCTGCCCAGTAGTCATTGGATGTTGGGAAGGATAAGAATTTGACAAGAAAGTCTCACAAATATGTATGTATAACAAAAAAAAAAAAATTAAATGTAAAATCTAAAGAAGAAATAGAAATAATAGCAAGTTTTAATATAAAAGACAAAAATTGCTAAGCCAGTCTTACTAAATAACTAAAAAAGCCAAAAGTATGTTAGTATGTAAGTTAGAAAGGGTTTTTATGACTCAAAACAAAAAATAAATCCACCTCAAACAAAAAATGTTTTTAGCAAGCAAAAAAAATTTCACAAGCAAACAAAAAACCAACGTTGCAAGTAAAAAAAAAAAACTCAACGTTTTCCAATGCAAAAAAACTGAAAAACAACTTCTAACTTAAACTGTAACATACTAACTTCTTGTGATTAAAACATAGTAACATAAATATAGTAATGTTAGTAGTTATGCTAGGCTATAAGTAATAGTGAGAGTGTTAATTAGTTGTCATATATTAGAATGTTCAGCAAAGAAATCTACATAATACATTGTAACCAAAACTAAAGTAGCTTCAAACGAACCTACAGCTGTGACTAAAAAAGCTGTGGGCTAAACTCTTGTCACTCAGGGCCGTGAATTGCTGTATCATCCAGATACAATAAACAGCATTTTAAAGAGCCAGTCTGGAGCCCTGCATCCCTTGGCTCTTACAATTGGAGATACTGATGCTTATTGACTTTGATTCGGGGTTACTGCACCATGTGCTACTTAACTTCATATTTGTGGACCTTCCTTTTCCTGATCTCAACTCCCTCCCCTCTTATTTCTTGGAATGGGCTCTGCCTTTTCCAGGCAGCCTGCCCGCTAGGATATTGCCCAACGTGTCCCAAGTCTTGTCAACATCCAGCCTGTCCCGCTGTTGAAGGAATCCCAAAGGACAAATCCCAGCTGGCATGCACCCCCAGGCAAACCCGAGCGCCAGGCACCTGCCAAATTCCTGCCAACACCGCCAAAGGTTCGTCTCACTCTTCCAGCATTTGTCTGCCCGCCGCCCTGGAAGAAAGAACTGTCAATTGTCAACACGGGGAGGGCTGCCTGGCACAGCTGTGCCCGCACTGCCATGCCAGGTTGGTATTGCTGAAACACAGACCAGCAGTCAGGGGGAGCAGAGGGCATCCAGCTCACAGGCTCAGGGCGATGCAAACTTCTAGAGCCAGCCACTGACTCCTGTCTCAATGACAAGAGACCCACTTGATGTCCCCATGAATTGTTAATTTGATTTACTTGCTGAGACCTCCCAGAATGGATAATGAGTGTTTCAGTCAGTGTGAGCAGCCCTCTGAATTCACCTGCTCACAACAACCTGGGACTCCAAAGTTGTTGGGGCTCTGCCTTCCAGGCCACTTAGCTCCCACCTTATGCAGTTTGTGAGTTATTTACTTATTTATTTATTTATTTCCCTCTTTGAATGTAAAATGAGATTTGTTATCTTTGCCTGTACTGCCTCTTTACTTTATTCATGGAAGAGACCGAAGAGTTTTTCACTCATCCATTGCTTCCCAAACATCACCCTCATTAAAAATACCCTTCTTTTCCACATTCCTGGCTACCAAATTCTTTTCTCTTGCCTCTGCCTTCCACTGTCCTGTCACAGGCAAATTGTCACAACATAGGCAGTCGCTTACCCATCTCATTCTAATTCTTCTGCCAGAAGAATTACATCAGTAAGTGCTCAGATCAATTTGGGCTTCATCTGACTATCAAATTATTTTAGAGCTCTTGTTGCACAAAATCCTGAAAACCATTTTCCATCTCTGAAGACAGCCCTAATGCCTGCAGGAGAAGCTCCTGGCCCAGTCCCTCTGCCCTACACCAACCCAGGTGCACAAGAACACCCCTGCACATTACATTTCCCCTGTTTGTAACCAGCACTATCTGTTCTAACCAAGAACATGTCTTGCCATCTCACTGCAAGGAATATTCTGCCCCCAACCCATCCCTGTGCTTGGGCATTCCTTAAATTCATTCTGAAGCTTCCCAAGGATTCTTCTTCCCCTGTGTGAAGCTGCACATCTGTCCTTTGCACACAATGCTTTCTCCTGCATCCAGCCCTGTGAGAGGTTGCTCTCCCATCTAAATATGATTTTTTTATTTCTCTCATTTGACCTCCAGGCTCTTTTTCTTAGCTCTGACTCCCCTCAGTTCTGTAGTCTGTAAGACTTGGTGCTAATTTTTGATACCTTTGCTGTTCTGTCTGGCACTTCTCCAAGCCCTAAACTGTTCAGGCAACCAGAGCAGAACTGCCTGTACATAAGCAACCTGTGGCCTTTGTTCATCTTTGCACTGCTTGTCCTCACTAACACAAATGCCCCTCCCTTATCTTTGCTTGTGCTCCCTGGGAATTGCCACTGGTACTGTTGGGAATGAGGATATTTCCATCTGCAACTGGATCCTGTTGAGAGTGCAGATTTCAAAAGCAAAGTGAGTTTGGCTAATTTAATTCTGAAGTTCACTCTCTGTAATATAGGCAGCCAAGGGGAAAAAACCCCAAACCCCTCTGACTTTTTTAGGCAAGTCAAACAACATGGCTTCAAACATTGGCCCCTATTTCAGTCTTAAAAGAGGATGCTGGCTGCCATCAGCAATAAGCACAAACTGCAGTTTATGCAATTCCATTATCTGTGTTTGAAAACTGATGCCTGCAGGAATGGTGGAAATACTCATCAGCTCCTTTTGCTGCCTGGCATGCTGATCCTCTCTTTTTGCCATATACCCCAGAGACAGAGTTTCTTTTTTATGCCAAGACTTGCCCTAAGAGCAGATGTAGCAGCCTCCTGCTCAGGGATCCAGCTGTGGGTGACCTCTCCTCTTGTACAGCCCCAGAGGGCCTAAAAAAATGAAGATGCTAAATCTCTTTTTAAAGTAGTAGGTGGGTACAGTGAGAGAGAAACCAGCAGCTGGCTTTTAAAGAAGAAATGAGTGGCTCTCATCACACCTTGCCAACTCAGTTGTAACTCCAAGTCTGAGTGGTATTCAAATATCTCTTCTTGGGTTTGGGTGGGGCTGGCTCAGATTAAAGAATTTAGGTAGAAATGGGCTTGCTAAAAGTGATCTGAAATGAGGCTGGGCTGATGCTTTCTGGCAAAGTTTCAGAGAATTGAGCAAGTCTCTGGAACCTTCTTCCATGTCCTAAGAGGTTTGAATTCTTAATGTAAAAATGAGACTCTGCTCAGTTTCTGGGTATCCTGAGAGAATGATAACCATAATGCTTTTCCCAGCAACTTTCTCTGAGCAAAATTGTTCATCCTTCTCAGCAGGTCAGATAGTTACATATTAAGCATTTAGCTTCTGGGTAGCTTTGAAAGCCATGTGGGAATTACAGCCAGGTCAGAACAGAGCTGCTGTCCTGCTGAGACAGCACGAGGGGTGAGTGGTACCCAGTGCTCTGCAACAAATCCAGCAGACATGAAGTGAGATCTGCTGGGTGTTGAGCCCTTTGAAAACAAACATCTGTCTTTAAAAAGCCAAACCAATGGTATTGAGAGGGGCTTTTCCTCTGTGCCTAAGCACAGTAGCTGTCAGCAGGAGCCTTCTGGTTGGCAGTTCCCAAATCCTCCTGCAGCTTGGCCCTTGGGTACCAACCATGATGCCCCATGAGCTCCAGGGCTTGCTGGAGGCAGAACCTTCAGCCTCACTTTTTTATGCAACATTAAAAGCTCCCTTTTTCCCCTGTCAGCTGCTCCCAGCAGGACCTACCCTGGTCCTTGGCCCCCTCACTGTGCTACAGGTGGTGCAGGGTTCTGCACTCACGTCTGACATAACAGGGAGTGCCTGTCCTCCCTTGGACACAGCTCAGCTCCTTGTCCTGATGGCTGAGTGTGGGCTCTGGATGGTATTGCTTACATCAGCTGAAGCAGCTGAACTTTTCCTTTTGCAAGCTTTCATAACAGATTGCATGGCATATTTCACCCTTGACCATCATGACATCGTTTGGCCCCTGTATCATTAAATAGCCAAATTCCTTACAGGCAGCTTCCCCAGCACATTTTCTCCCTCTGACTGAGAGGTCTTCACAGGCTGGCCCATCTGATGGCAGAAGCTTCCTGCCTTGGCTATCATCACAGAGTAATTTGAGACATCAAATAATTTTGGAGCAAGCTTCACCACCTCAATCTGCAGCTCAACAAAAATTGTACAGGCCATGCAAATAGCTGTCATTTGCATGGGGGAGTCCCAGGTTTGGTCCATTTTAGCTTCTTGTTTGCTTCTTGCTCAACCCAAATTGAGACAAAGAGAGTCTGGTAACATTTAAAATGTTCTATTTTTTAAAGCCATCTTTGGAGTTTGTTTCTCTTTCTTTTTTTTTGTTGGTTTATGTGTGTGTGTATGAGATTCAATTCCTTCATGAGTACTCTGCACAGAGACTCTTGTGCTGCTTTCTGTAGTCAAGGCAGTCTCAGACAGCCAGAGATGGCTCTTACCTGGGGATTTCCCAGGTATATATGGATGACACATTGCTTTCTCCCTCTCTTGAGTGTCAGGGGTGGTGATTTTCACCATGGGGACAGAGTAGGTCAGTATATGTCACTCCATTATCCACCTAAACCACACACTAAACAGGCAGCACTGCACCTCCCAAGTGTGTGCATGCACACGTGTGGATCTCATACATGGATAACACCTTCCCCCAACCCCTTTGGCTTGGCATTCCTGCAAAAGTAGCTGGAAATACATTGGTGCTAAGCAAACTGCTACAGATACAATACCAGGATGTCAGGGTTCTGTGCCTTGGCTATAAAGTCAACGTTGATACCGCCAATCACCACCTTTAAGAGGGAATAAAGAGGTAAAAAGTGGTTGGAAGGACTTCAGGAAAAGGTTTCCAAGTCTTCTTTGCTTTGCCTAGTCACTTTTCCCACCCTCTTGAAAGTTCTCTCATTTACAGTTGAAGGGCCAGTGCTTATTTTGAATAGACACAGGTTTGCACAATCCCAATCAGAAAGAATCAATTCTTTGCTGCTTTCTGAATTATGCCTGCTGCCAGCCAGCCCCAGTGTGGCAGGTGGGATATTACAGTGGACACACAGGGATGCTGATGTTTTCTCTGTGTGATGGACCAGGCCTCAGAAACATTCAAGCACTGGTGTGTAAAAAAGCAAAGAAAATGGGAAAAAGTAGACAGAAAAATGCAGTAATTTCTTGCAAGCTCCCAGGAGAAATTGCCAAACCCAGTGACACTTTACAGATCACTTCTTTTATTGTCCTACAAAGCCAGAATAAGCAGTTCAGCTCCAAAAACAGGAAGTTTCCAGATTCTTTGGGGACATACAGCTGTTTTTTCTCATCAAATGGTGGGTTATTGCCTCTGGAGTCACTGCTCTCTTTTATGTTGACAAATCTTATTGCAAATGGGTTTTAGAAAATCTTTCATGTCTCTAAAGACCACCTAAAATAGATTTCCTGCAAATTACATGGCACAGACAAAATCCAAGAGAGTGAATAGAGTACTAGGGTTATAGTGGATCTTGTTCAGGATGTGCTGTAAATCTTGCGATTTTGTCAATCATGAGCAGGAGGCCAACAAAAAGAGATATTTATAAACATTGATGGCTCAGTAGCTCAAAATATCTCTCCCCACCCTCTTCCAGGTCTACTCCTGTAGTCACAAGTTCCCTGGTACTCAGAGCTATAGAGCTGAAGCTGTACTTAAGGGCACAGTAAAAGGTGAAAAGGTGATTAAAGTTTTAGTGGCCTTGATGACCTGAGACTTAATGAGATTAGGCCATTGTCGGTGTCTGCTCCTTGTAAATGTGGATGGGGGAGGAGGAGAAGGCACTTATCTTTCAAGAATAACAAGGCAAAACTGAAGGGAGAATGTCTGAGAGTGTGAAGGAGAATGATTGGTGCCTGGCTGAGTCATCTTTTACTTTTGGGAACAGATATAAATTTATCTTGTGCTGTCAGCAGAGAGGCATCATATGGAGGCCAGCAGAGGACTCACTGGTTGTGGTGCTGTCATGTCCCCTGGCCGAGGCAGGTTCCTTTTCCTTCTGGCTTTCTGCAGTTTGCTCAGGGCCACTGCAATGCAGCTGCCCACTCTGGCATTGTTCTGGATCAGTGCAAGGTCTGTTTAGCATTTCTTTGAGGAAAATTAAAAATACCAGCGAGTCTTACCTGTTAGAAACTTATGTAGGAACTGTTTAGAGAGAGAAAGCAGGAAATACATGCTGGGACTTGATAGGTTTGATTCCCCCATACCATAATCTTTAGGGACAATTATAGTGGGTTACAATGCTGCATTAAAGCTCTGATCTTTCTTTTTTCTTTTCTTTTTGTTCACCTTCCTCTCCCAGTGTCCACAGAGAAGAAACCTATCTTTGACAGGTGGAGGATAGAAACAAAGGCTTCACAGAGAAAAGAGAAGGTGAAGTGCTTAAATTACAGCAGAGAGCCTAAAAACCTTAGAGGATCTTGGTCAGCTTTTCCAGAAAGAGATACCTACGGAGATTTTGCCAAGCCGCTACAAGCAATTTTTTTTTTTTTTTAGCAAATTGCACTGGGAGCAGAATATCAGAGGCTTTAAAAACCCCACTTTGTGGGTGCATATAGCTCTTATATCCAAAAATACCCTGATTGGTCAGGCCTAGAGGGCTGGCAGCAGAGCCTGGATGTGAATCTGGCTCTCCCAAATCCTGCACTGGCATCCCAGTCAGTCCCTGCTTTCTCTTGGCTGTGCAGTGGATTCCTGCTCACCCAGGGGTGTTTGTCCTCCCAGTCTCTCTTTCCCGGTGCCCCCAGGGAATGCTGTAAGGAATGTTATAATGACAAGGCAGTGTGATGTACAGCACAGTGCTCTGGGAAGCCCAGGAACCTTCCAGTGTGCAACCCCAGCACAGACAACAGCATCCTGAGATTCCATCACAGAGCAGGCAAGCTCCAGGGTCAGATGTGAGGGATTTCTTTGGGCTTTGGACCACCTGCCACCTGTGCTGCCCTCCAGTTTTTAATGTAAAAGGGGATGAAGGCAGTAAGGATGTTCCTCAAAAATCAGGATGCAGGTGCTGAGCTCCCATCTGTTTGCAGATACTGAAGTGTTTGCTCCTTGCTAGATCATCAATAAAGTGATGGTGTTTCCTACCAGGCAGAAATAGGAAATACACTGAAGTACTTTCTTTTTCCCCCCATTTAGTAAGAGGATACTGGAGTCCAATGATTTCCCATCAGTTAACTCTACGAGCTTCTGTAACAAAAAGGGGGTCACTTCTTTGCCTGTGATTCCTTTGGACCTGCAAATATAAAGAAAATGCCCAGAGATGAGCTGAAATGACATCAGAAGAGAACACTGTTGCCAGCAGATACTTTATCTCCATAACCACATACCATAGCAAGTCCTGTAAACAAGCTTGGGGTTAGATAAAGTTGAAAATAAGTTGTGGGCTCACCCATGCCCAAGGTTAAGCTGTGCTAGGGCTCCTGCAGCAGTGTCCCTGAATTTGTTTATTCCCCCAAGAGCACGGGCTGAGCAAAGGCAAAGGCTTAGGTCGTTTCTCACCTGGCTTGGCTGAGAGCTTGCTGGATGGCCTCTTCGATGGCCTGGCCCTGGGCAGCTCGCTCCTGGGGACAGGGCACTGCTATCAGCACTCCACTGCCCAGCCCCAGCCCCAGGGCACTGTCTGGAGAAGATGGGAATATTGTTAGTGGCACTCCTTGGAGAAGGAAGGAAAGGTGCTGAAGGAAAAGGACAGAGAAAGGTGGGCACGAGGTGTAGGAAGCCTCAGAGCTCAAGCTCCAGTTCTTAGCTGACCCAGGATCAGGATCTTCTCCTGCTACCAACCAATCCACACCTGCCTATTTCTTTTGAGTCTGTCTGTACAGCAAAAGGGGCAAAGTTTTTTTTTTCTCTTTTTAAAACTGATTCCCCTTCTAAAGGCCCAGAAGCCATTTTTGTCAACATATTATTATGTGTTGCCTCCACTTCACCAGGTGGAATAAAAAACATGTGGCTGGCTGCAGCTGACTTGCAGTTTTACTTGCTGTAGAGACTGCTACTTCTCTGCTGCTGTATTTTCAAAGCACTTTCAATGCAAGAATGGGGGAGGTGGGATGGTAAATTTTTTAGAGCAAATTTTTCTGCAGACTTAAAGAAAGTGCCTCATCCAGGGTAATTCTTGTGTCCCTCCTTTCCAAGACCTTACAGGGGCCTTTGCCATGTGAAACACACCGATGAGTTTAGCTGCCTCCTCTTCATCCCGGACATGATATGGTGCTTGGAAGCCACTCTGGCGTGAGAAGAAGGCTGGGAACTCTCTTGATTCTCCAAAGGCAGCCACACACACACCCTGGGTCTCCTGCAGTGAAGGTGAGACAAGCAGGTGATCAGTGGAGGGAAAGGGCAGCCAACTAAAGAAACTGCCTTTCTTTGGCACAGGTCATGGTTATTTCAGTTCATCCCATTCTATTCTATCCTCTCACCAAGAGCCAGACATGGTAAGTGGCTAGAACAGATCTGGCTCACTGAGGCAGAGGAGGCATGTGCATCCTTTGTGTGTGCTTGGGGCTGATTCAAAGCCATGCAGCTGTCATTGACACCATCCTGAGTCCAAGATAACACCCAGGGATCTGAAGATATGTCATGAACTGACAGGATATCAACGAGTTCTGCTTGCAATTGAGAAATATCAGTGTTGGCTGTTACCTGAAGTGCTGGCCCTGGTGGTTTCCAACATGGCCAAACCTTAAAAGGTGGCTGCTGAAAATCATCTGATTCCCTTTTTAATTCTAATTGTATTTTAGTGTTTGAGGGATCTAGCTCTCCTGATCCATCAGTTTCTGGGAACATCATCCCAGAAAAGAAAATCTAATGCCAAAGGAAAAGGACATGGATATCACTACCTTTGACCTCAGTTGGAGCAGCTGCTGGCACAGCCCCTTGAACATGGATAGATTTATGTTAGGGAGCAGCCAAGTGCTTGTGCAGCCCCAGGGCTACAGAACTGTAAATATGGCTTCACATCCTCTCAGCAGCAATTTCTGAAAATCTTCAGCTTAGGACCCATCCCAATGCCACTGGGCACTCTGTGCACAAAGAACAACGTTACCTGCTTTCAGACACCACAGCCCATGGTGCTTACCAGATATTCCAGTGTCCTGCCAATATCAAGGATAGACTTGGCTCCTGCAGCTACAACAGCGACTGGAGTTCGTCCTAGCTCTGTCAAGTCAGCACTCACATCCAGAGCTGTCAGGAGGCAAGCAGCATGGTGTTGGTGATTGTGTTGTACCCCAAGCTGATGAGATCTGACCTCCCAAAAAGCCACATACGCCCAGGATGACACTGCCTGACTTCATAACTGGCTAGGTCCACAAGCAAATATTAAAGGTTTAGATCGTGTCTTTAGGTGTTGACATTGAAAGAGGTATTGACAAAAAGAAGTCACATGGCTAAGGGCAGAGGTGCAGCCTTGTACTCTGTCTCTTGGCTCTTTGATCACATTATAAAGAGCAGGCAAAAATTTGGTAGAAAAGAAATAAAAAGGTGTTGTACAGCAAGGATGAGGTTCAAGGAGATGCAGTATCATTGAAGTAGATTTTGAGTTTGGAACTAACAATGCTTGCAAACAAAGAAAGTACCACACGAGCTGACCTCAGGAAACTCCTTGGTCTGGAATTTACATCACATCTGAAAGGGATGGCATACAACAGGGCACTGCACTTGGGCTGTGTTGGAAATATAAACAGCTGAGAAGAGTGAAAGCACTTAAAAGCCACAAACTGTACCAGCCCATCTTCCAGAGGGGAGCATACACCTCTAACACAGAGCACACTCTTTTGTGGCAAGGCTCTTCTCCTCAGCTGACAGAGCTGATAACAACACTGTGCTTGGCAGCCAGTATCAGGTTATCCAGCCATTACAAAGAGGCAGAGGTGCAGTCAGCTCCTGTTGCACCAGCAAACAATATCAACATAACCCCATGTAAGCAAAGGATAAAGAGAAACTTCCACCCCCCTTCCACAACTGTCCAGGGCTCAAGAGGAATATTTGGAAGCTTCTGGAAAGGGGACATCAGGGAAAAAGCAACCATAGTTTGATCAAGAAGAATGTTAACTTTATTCTTCTGGACAGACAGTTACTATAGGACAAGCTGGGAAAAAGGGAAAAGAAGGAATTGAATAAAACTGTAGCAACAGAGTGAAAAGCAGGAAGTATTGATGTTCTTACTGTTCTCCCCATCCCGATGGACACCTCCTATGCCACCTGACACAAACACAGGAATTCCTGCTTTGTGTGCTGCAATCATTGTTCCAGACACGGTAGTGCCTCCAGACAAGCCCTGTCAGGGAACAACCAGCCACAGTCAGCACCCAGGGGGACATGGAGAAGCAGCTACAGCTGTGTGAGCACTGAAATTCTAACACAAATACTCTTTTAGCCAAAAAGGCAGAGGAATCCACTTAGGAGCTGGACTCTATAATCCTTGTGGATCCCTTCCAACCCAATATTCTGTGATTCTGTGAATCATCTGTCATCCCTGCTATATAAGCTGTTCTTGCCCTGATAGCAGAGGCCTTTGCTGTCCAGGGTACTCCACAGGCAGCTAGTGGCACCTTTAGCTGTCACTTTAAGCCTGGGATGGCCTAAGTGTCACATAGTTTACATGTAATGTGATAATGTCCTATCATGCTAATAAGAATATTCTTAGCCAAGTGCCCATGGCTTGCCAGCACAACCAGAATGACTTTTCAGGAGCCCTATTTCATGTGTGTCATTCCCTTTCTCTGTTGTATTTTGACTAGTTAGGGCCACTTTTGTGCTTACCACTAAGATACCACCCTCCATGATATTTTTGAGAGGTATAAAAGCCACCTGGCTTGAAGCTGGAGAGCTTCAAGCTACTGTTGCTAGAAAAGCAACTTTACTTTACTAGGAAAGAACCCCCAAACTAGAAAGTTTGCCCACCTTACCTGGCTGAGGACAAAAGGAAAATCTCTGCGAGACACCTTAACTGCATTTTTACTGCTTGCCAAGAACTCGAGTTCCTCATCTGTGAGTCCCACGTGGATTTGCCCCCTTAAAATACCTACAGTGGCTGGCACTGCTCCATTTGTTCTTACAATTTCTTCCACCTCTCTGGCCATGCTGAAATAAGATAAACAAGACAATAATCATAAAATTAAGGATGGAAACAATCGGGCATGAAAACTGCCGTGTTTGATGGCCATCATTCACAGTTCTACACTTCTTGTGATTTCAGCAACCTCCTGTTCTTCTTGTATCTGCCTCACGGCAGAAATCTTTGCACTTGGACTTGCAGAAGAGAAGAGCTCCCGTTTTCAAGGATGGCAATGTCCAAGCTCTGTGTTTCATTTCTGAGAAAAATCATTTGGTTTACAAGCAAATCTGGTTGTACAATATACTACTGAAAATAGGCATCTTCTCAAAATAGGACTTTTCTGTATCTTTTACCTGTTATTTCTCTGACATCATAGACCTTCACAAAACCCCAGGCAGTTCAAGTCCTGCTCAAATGACCAGGATATATTTTTCACAATACATTGAGATATATACAGTGAGATATAGAGTAACAACAGTGCCAAAAATCTAGTGCCTTAGGGTACTCCAGCTGCAGACTAAGACTAAGTTTAGCAGATTTTCTTCTACTTGATCATTCATACACTACCTATTTTAGGAGCAGCTTCTTCTCCCTTTCTCAGCTATCTGGACATCTTCTTGGCAATCTTTAAGTATTGAAACTGCTTCTTCCCCAAAATCGAGTTTTTAGAGCTTCATTTTAAGACAGAATGTCAGGCAGAATAATGGCCAGGTAAAAAGCAAGATGGAAAATCAATGCCAAAACCTTTTTGTGCTTTCTGGAAGCAAGGATGGAGGGGAGAGCACAACGATTTCTGGCACTGTAACTCAATGAAACACAAGTCTACTGAAAATTGATAAAAAAAGAGTAGCAGTGGGGGGTTCCATGCAGGGTACAGAAGGCAGTGAGAAGGGACCAGGAGCTCTCACAGTAGCAGCTCTCAGTGGGATAAGGAACAGATTTCACTATTGTGTTTCAATCCTTTTTGCATTACAAAAGATACAGGAAAAGAAACTGCAGAGTGTTTCCAATGTCTGTACAAACTATGCAACTGAAAAGGCTGATTGCTCTCTTTTAGAGCCAGTGGTGACATTATCTGCTGCTCTGTTTTAAAGGAAGCCAGAAACTTAAGGTGTTGGATAAGGAGATAACTAAGTTCCCCATATTTGTCCTTAGAAGTCGAAATACAATTGTTTTACATTTGAGCTCACAGTCTGCAAGCCTAACAACCTGACCTTTCTATTTGCTCTTGCAACAGCTTTGGTTTGACCAAGAATACAGACACCAATCCAATAATTTATGTGCTTCATTCTTACAACTTCACTGAATGAGGAACAGGAAAATCCATCACCTCAAATTCAGAGGATAGGCCATGCCATGTGTAATGATGGTGCTTTCCAAGGCTACCACGGGTCTCCCCTCCACCAGAGCTTCCTGTACAGAGGGATGAATCCTGACATAACCACCTGGGGATAAACACAGAAGAGTGAGTTATTTGTGTGGGTATTTGCAGTAACTACTGAGCTGTTTTATAAAAAGCAAATTGTCATCATCACAACAAATTTATCCCCCTCTTCAGCTGTTCTTTGGGGTGAATTTACAAATAACTTTAGGAAGACTAGAGCTGTGTTTTATGTAAGTGAAATGTGTGCAAAATAGCTCTACTGTTAATATGAATTATAATCCTCATCACCATCACTGAAGGATCCTCTGCCACCATTTTTGCAGTTGTTTGGTTAGTGGCTCCAGTAACATTTCTTGAACGTAATTGTGAACAAACCAAGCCCTGCAACCACGCCTGAGGATGGAAATACGTTTTAAAAGAGTGGAAGCACCAGGAACACCGTAGTAACTCAGTGCACTACTCACCATGCAGAAGTCTTCTCACCTGGGTGGTCCCACGTGCCATGGAGGACACGTGTTTTCCCAGGCTCAACATTGTCTTCCTGATCATCCTGTGCCTATGGATGGTCCTGAGGTAACAGAAGGCAGGTGGGAAGATGTAATTTAGCAATGATGGGACCTTGAGAAGCGAAACAGTTCCTGCCTTGGCCTTGGAAGGTGGACAGCCCTTGCCGAGGAGATTGCCTGGGATCTCCTGGTGCTTCCAGCATGAGCCAGGGTGTCAAAACAAAATGTTAAGCTGCAGAAATGGGGTTGGAAGGGGTCACCCAGCCCGTTGTCAATGCTGGGCTGAAATCGTGGTGGAACAGAGGAAAGGATGAGGACTAACAAACTAGGGAGAATTCTGAAGCAGAAAACCTTTTAAATTCCAAAGTGACCTGCTCGTGATAGATGTCAGGCCCAGGCACTGCCACCTCCAACATGAAAGGCCACAAGGAGGCATCTACAAAGCAGAATAGTGCTATAGGGATGTGAACCTGTTTTTTGCCGGTGTCTAGGAGAAAATAAGCAGCTCAAAAAGGAGCTGAGAACTGACAAACCAGACTGGAACTGCAAGGAGGAGAGAGCAGCTTTCCCTAGAGCTGGGAGTGCTTTATGCAGGCTCATGTTACATCATCCTTCTTAGCACAGTGCCTTGGAAGCTGAGTGGCAATTCAGCCCCAGCAACAAACTCCAGAACTCCTCCGGTCTCTTAGCAACTCCTTTTCACTCTAATTAAATTCATTCCCAAACAGAGAAAGAGGGGGAGAGAGCTGTAAATGTTGAGAGAGTGGTCTGTCTGGGCCTCAGGGCAGTTTCACTCAATGCCTGGCTGCTTCACATTCTTTTCCTGGGCTTTTGGCCATATCCCTCCAGTCTCCCTGTTCCTCACCCCTTCACTAGGAGGAAAGGATTCCCTTTCTCAGTCCTTTGTGCCTATTGTTAATTCAGATGGCAAATTAATTAATTAAAATACAGTACTGTGTTCATGTTACACTTAGCAGAACATGGCTCTGCTCTTAGTAGTGTGTGACACTTCAGCTACATAGAAAATATATATACCCAGGGAGAGTGTATTTGCCCAAATCTAAAGACTTCAACTATACAGGATAGCTTGGGCTGTGCTATTTAAGAAATGTAGGACTGGATCAACTAGACACAATACACACCTGACTGAAACACTAAGATTTTCCACTTTCCAAATCCTTTCAGTGCTAAGCTCAGCAGCTTGAGCTGTTCATGGGTTCATGCAAATGTTCTGGCATGGCTGTGTGTGTGCCTACACACCCCTCGCTCTCTGGGGCAAAGTCAGCTTCAGAATAAATTCATTAAGCCAACAGGGTTATGCCAGGGATCCGTTGAGCTGCTTGAGTTGTGCTCTGAATTTTAACAACCACCCAAACTCTGAAGCACAACACCAGGGAGTGCCCAAGCTGTACTGGGCAGTGGATAAAAACCAGCTGGTCACCACCTGAAACCCAAGAGGGCTGAGCTGATATTCAAGGGGAGCTCGGCCAACATTCAGCCTGAGCTGGCTCAAAGATTTTGGAAGCTTGGCAAGTTTTGCTGCAAGACCCATACGACCTTTTGCCTCGTAACCAAACTTTGCACATTTACAGTGCACGTTTCAGGCAGCTCCAGCACACGGAGCTGCTCTCCTCCCACCTCCCCTGTGACCCATGGGTGTATCCAAGCTCATGGAGCAGTGGCCTGGTGTCTCTTACCTGGGGGTGTCCTCTCATGGAGGGAGGCTGGGTGGGTACTGGAGCAGCGCCTGGGCAGCCCTGGGAGGAGGAGGAGGAGGAGGAGGGGGTGCTGGCCAGGACTCCTGGCCAAGAGAGTCTATTTATTATTAACCACAGGCACAGCTGAGCTCTACAACTGCTCCCTGCCCAGGGTGCAGGGGGCCACTTCACAGCAGGGCCAGGAAAGCTTCTGTGATTATTTTTGCTCACGCAGAGCCAGATTTTCCCCTTGCTCTTTAAAAGACTTTTCTCATTTTTCAGATTCCTTTCCTATTAGACTTTTTTAAATCGGTGAATTCCTTGCTCGCTAAAACAATGCCTTTGCAGACTGAGCCCCTTTGTGCTTATTCCTAAAAAGCAGAGGAATCACATCCATGCCTCCCCCACAACGTTGCCAAATGCAGCTGTTAAAACTCTTTCTTCCCAGGGTGAGAGCTCTACCCAGTTCTTGGCCTCTCTAGCAAGGAAAGCTGTAGGTCTAAAGACAGTTGTGGCCACGATTTTTATGGTGCAGACACCTGGCTACGCCCAGAACACGAGCTGAGCTCACAGCAAAAACTTTCATAGTCTCCTCCTATAAAGACAATCCATTCTAGCAGCTCAAGGGCAGCTTTGAACAAGGACTGTGAAATGAGCGTTTGTCGCCTCCTAAAAAAAAATGATACTTTGATATCTAAGGCATTGGTATTGTACATGTTTCAGTTTTATATTCTGCAGAAAATATCAAGAGTTGAGAGTTCAATGGCCATGAAGGAAGTGATTTACAGGTTAAAAGACAGACATGATTCTGTGCAGCTTCTATGCACAACATAAAACTAGCTGAAGTAATTACAAATGTATTGCTGAAGTAATCAGTGTCAGGGAGCTGATTTTACTGCAATCCATTAATCAGGAAATTGTAAAACATAGGCTGTTAAAGCAGTATTTGCACTTTACACTCGTCCCTTTCAAAAGAAATTTCTCACAACTTTTGTTTAACCCAGCAGTAACAAATTGTGTCTTGCTTTCTACATCCTTCCAATCTCTTCAGTTAAACACATCCAAGGAAACTTCAAACAAAGCTTGCTGAGTTACAAAGACAATCTGCCTCTGACTTCTGCTACTCAGTCTGGAGGGAATTTAATTGCAGGAATGATAGATTGCATCCTCAGATACCATAAATGGATGCTGAAGATTTTGTGAACAATATCTTTTTTCTAGGAGGATGGGTAGTCAGATGTATTGGAAAGAAAGTGCGTAGGTAAAATAACATTTTTTAAAAATACACACAAATTATAATGACATAACTTTATTTTCCATTAAATCTATTTGGAAAGACTGCAGTATTGTAGGAATCTATCTGAACTATCATGTTTTTGACATACTCTCAGGCAAGATGGTTTAGTAACCAAGCTGGTCACTCAGTTTTCAATTCTCAACATCATCTCAAGGTGATCAGCAGGCACCCAAGTCCAGCCTGTCATATTATGTAAGGCAGGGGTAAGGATGTTTTGCTTGATTTTTCTTTTTTTTTTTCCCTTAAATCCAGTAGAAAATCATCCTGTTGGATTTTTAACTCAGCTTTCCAATACGAACCTGTCTGTCTCTGAGACAAAATGGGGCAAGTCACACAGGTCTCTGAGGGCACTTCTGCAGACTTGTGCATGTCCCAGCTCTGGCACTGCTCCCAGCAGAAGGGATATATGATATATGTGATATATGGCTGACAATGACTTGGAAGCAGCCAGTAGGTGACTGGCAGGAAAGAAAGCCCTGGAGAAGAGCTGGAGAGAGGTTTGTATGAAAGTGTGGGGTGGTGTTTAAGTCACTCCTCTGCCTGCTGCACTGTTAGCTGCCTTTCCAGTCCTTTCTGCCTGCCTGTGACCCGGAGCTTGCTGCTGCTACTTCCCCCTCCGGGCCTCAGAAGTAGGAGTTAATATTAAACAGGTTCCCGAGTAAAATGGGTGCGGCTGGGAACAAAGAAATTCCCGTGGCAAATTCCTACTGCCCGCTGGGAGCCGGGCATTTTTCTTCCTGAGTGATTCCTAGAGTTAACATCTCCCCTGAAACCCTTCCTCTCTCAGGGTGTTCCTGCCAGGGGTATTAAGGAAATGAGAAACTCCCCATTAATTTTGTCACTCTGTCATATCCACCATGGGACAGTGTTTTCCTTTCCCTGTGCACCTGATTTCTAAGAGTATATTTACAGTTGTTAGGTTGGGATTTGGGATTTGCTCATTGATGCTTCTCTGTTTTTGAAGCTTGCTTCTGCCAATATCCAGGAGACCTCCTAGGGACAGAGTCCTACAGAACACATTTAAACATTCACTTATTTTACTTGAGTGAGAGCTATGGTGCCTGGAACTGTCTGTCTTGTCAGGGCAACAATCTAACCAATACAAAGGTCTGATAAAATTGCTCTTTAGAGACTTAACCTCTTTAACTGTCTTGATATCCTTCCACTTTCATCAGAAGATTTTCATGATCATTCTAATGGATCCAGAATAAAAATAACTTCCTAGATTATCTTAATGGTTTAAAAGCCAGCTTTTTTTAAAAAAAGCTTTTTTTCCCCTAACATGAAGTATTTTTTTCCTCCAGCTGCTTCTAAGAGAACGGAAGACTGAACATAAACATCTGGTGTAGTTTTTGAACTTTTATTTCAGTGCTGAATATTGCGTGAAAAATGCTCTGTGATGGAATCAAGTGCAGAAAATAAGTTTCTTCTTTTAAATATCAAAAAAGGTCTTCCCAATTCTCATGGGACAGTTTTCCATTGAACATCCAGGCTTTCTCATAACAGGGATTTGAGGAACTGAATTTATGAACTATTTGTCATTGATCACTGTGCTGACAATATCAGGAGGGAGTCTGCTGCATAGAGAGCCTGGATCAAGGTCTTTATAAGCCTGGATCCAGGTGCTCCATGTCCTGCATGAAGGTTGGTCTTATACAATCATTCAAAGAAATTGTTCATTCCAAGACTGTTGGAGTTCAAAGTTCACTTTTTTGTGTTTTATACCTACCTGCACCTTGTTTTGAAGCCTGTTAAAACTGATACGTGTATTTCACTTCCTTTTAATTCAGAGCTGTGTTCGTCCAGGTCTGGGTTCTGCATATTCCAGAAAATGCCAGCAAGCATTCCCATTGCCTCATTCCTTGGGTAGCTCTAGGGCACTGAAGTCATTGTTTCAAGGAAACCTGAAAACAGATTTACCTCTTCTCTCCTGCCTAAAGTCCAGCATCTTAGGGTACTGTCCTACTATGTTCAGATCAAGGGCGTCATTTCAGTATTTTCTAGAGTGACTGATGGCTTGGATACGTTTGATTTATTAATATATTTTCAAGGAAAGAGGCAAAGTATCAGTAACACTGCACTGACAGGCTTCTCCCTTCACCTTGTCCCTGCACCCCAGCTTGTCACTATCTTTTTGGAACGTGTTTAGTACTTGGCTTAAAGTTCTTGGCAGCAGGAATCCAAGGGCACCATGTGGATCAGGCGAACAGCAGTTGTGAAACCACTGGTTTTATTTATTAGAGTCACAGAATAGGCCGAGTTGGTGGGACCATCATCTGGCCCAATCTCGCTGCTCACGCAGGGTCGTCCTAGGGCACACCGGATTTGTGCCCAGAGGGTTCTGGAATATCTGCAGCGAGGGCGATATTCCAGATAACAGCAGCAGGACGCGATGTTTCTCACCCCATTAGCGCAGCACTGCGTGGCTCAGCGCCAACTTTCGGGCCGGGCCTTTGCGGCGCCACTGTCCCGTCTCGCCCCCTGCCCCCCGCCGGCGCCACGTCGCCGTTCCGTGTCGTTCCCTCATGGAAAAGGTCCTTTCCCGTCACCGCGGGATCCCGGCGGGGCGAGCCGGGCCCCATGCCCGCCCGCGGGGCCGCGCCGGGCGCGCTCCCGGCTGCGCCACGGGGGCGCGCGCGGGCCCTGCGGCCGCGCGAGGGCAGCAACGGCGCGGCCCCGCCCCCGGCGCGTTCGCGCGAGCCCGTCCAGCTCGGCCAATGGGAGCCGCCGCTCGGCCGGGGGGGCGGTGCCGCACTCGCGCCCCGCCCCGCGCGGCCGGAAGGATCCGCTCCCGGAAGTTCCGGCGCTGCCGCCGCTTTGCGGGATAAACAGTAATGGCGGAGGCGGTGGCGGCGCTGGAGACAACGGCGGGCGCGGCCGCCGCGGCCCTGGGGTCACCCGCGGCGGCTGCTGGAGCGGCGGCCGTCGCCTTCGACTTCGCGGCCGTGCCGCCGCCCTCCGCGGGGCCGGGGGGAGGCGGTTGGACCAAGCAGGTCACCTGCAGGTACGCGCCGTCCGCGGCGGGTGTGGGGGGGGGAGGGAAGCGGGCGGGCGCGGCCGCCCTTCCATGTCCTTCTTTTCCTTTCCCTTCCTTTCTCTCCGCAGTGCGCCCGCCTCGCCCCGGGGCCTTTTCCCTCACCGCCGCTGCCCCCCCGGTCCCGTACGCGCCGCGCGCGCCCGCCCGAGGCGCGCTCCGGCCCCGCCCCGCGCGCGTTCCCGGGGGTGGCGAGCGGCCCCGGCCCCGGGCGGGACCGGTCTCGGGCGGGGCTACCGGGAAGGGCGGCGCGGCCGCGGTGCCGCCAGCCGGGCCCGCCGGTGGGGGCGGTGCGGCCCGCGGCCTTTCTCCAGCCGCGGCCTCGTGCGAGGGTGTTCCCTGCGGCCTAGTGCCTGCGGCCGCCGGGCCGGGCCGGGCCGGGCGCCGGGAGCGTTCCCGCCGCCTCGGCAGGAGCCGCGGGCCGCTCTTCATTGTGCGGGAACGGGCCCGCGGTGCTCGGTGCGAAGGGCGCCGTGTGAAAGGAAGTCCTGCAGCCGCGTTCCGCAAAGCGCGACAAAGCAGGAAATGCGACGGAATTTAAATCCGTGTGCGT